GCTCGGTCTACAAGCTGGGTGTACTCAAAACAGTTGTTTTCTATTCACATGGTGCATTGAGACCAAAGAATCATCGGGACCAAATTTTCGGCAGCTAAAGGGGGCTCACAGTTGATTAAAAAAAAAGCACACGAGAAACTTTGGCATCTTCTGATGCATATTCTCTGCCAACTCTCAGCATGGAATTGGGGTTAATTAAGCAATTCTAAAATCACATTCAGAAGATGAACAGTGTTTGATCATGAAATTTTCGGTATTCCCGGAGGCCAAATTGAAGGAAAGTGTGTTTGTCGGACAAGGCATTAGAAGTCGTGTGGCTGACCAGGAGTGCTATGGGAATTCAAAACTATGATAAATCCTCAAAAAGTACCGCGGATTGCACTTAAAAGAGGTCGTAAATATTTTTCTAGATAATAACGAAGATCCTGAATGAAAAAGTAAAGAATGAATTGCAATAACTGTGACGAACTATGGTGAGTTATTGCGGATAGCATAAGGTCTCGTGTAACGCCCGGTTGACACCGCCAAGAAGATATATTGATGTTGGTAGACTACTGTTGGACGCTTAAGAGAAACAAACTAGAAGCTTCGCAGAAACATCACGGTACAATGGGGATCCTTGGAGCTTCACGTGAAAGAAAATTGATTTACAAGCATCAGTGGGCATCTTTTAGTTTAAAAAATTATTACAATGGAACCTACGAAGTACAAATTTGTAAATATTATATTTCCATTTATCTTGAATTCGTGACTTATTTTAATCTTTTCTGTAAATCGTCAGAAAAGGTGACGTCCAATTAAGAATGTAAGAGATATCATTTTCAATTTCGGAGCATATCATTAACTAATATCATTAGAGCAGGGGGGGAATGGGCTAAACAGCTTGCAGAAATGTTTTTTTGCAAGCCTGTTATTATCGAACAACGTCCATAGTTCAGAAAAGTACAAATAAATTAGTTTCTTTCACTTCCGAGAAATCCAAGCCCACTAAATCTAAGCACAATATTTAACCAAAGCAAAGCTGCAAACGAAGACGCTGCCCAAGAACCACTGGCAACGCGTCTATCCGAACAATAACTTTTATAAGTTCATCTTTGTCTGAACTTTTCTGGGATATATTGCTAAAACAACTCGCAGGTAGAGTGACTTATTGCACTTCAACTGACAGCAGCGCGATAAGCTAATACGTCCAAAATGCCCTATATCATAATCTGATGACTGCAACTATAGGCAAGTGATCACGTATTCCTTGATGTATGTAGATAAAGAAAAGGTTTTCCTTCTACGAACGACGGAAGAAACCAGTGAAAATGATCATGCTGGGCTGATATATTCATTCCCTTTACGAGATATTATTATCGAAAATAGTACTAGAGATAAGAAAAATCAATTGGAAAATTTAGAATGACTTTTTGAGTAGGTAATCTACCTACTGAGGCTGTTAATCCCCATAGTTGAACCTTTGTTTTATCGTTATTTCAGCCATAATAAATACGCATGTGAACGATGTATCCTCTAAATAAATTCGACGTCTAGATAGCGCGCCTCTACTGAGCGGCATGCAAAAGGCGAGAGAAGTTCGCTTATTCCAAATACCATTCCGTGTAATATTTCAGAAGAAAGCGATAGCAGCAAGTGAATCTGTTTGATGCCTAGAATTACTGACGGTCTGCATATGATGGGATGTCCGTTCACTATAATTTTGGAACATTCTGTGCTTAAAAGTGAGCTAAGAGTGGATGTGTGAGTCTCTTATAATCAAATTATTGCACTTATTGAGAGGAAATGAGAGTTTCTTATAATAAAATAATTGCACTTATTGATTTGGAACAATTAACTTTTATTTAATGCTTAGATTGCTTATGCTATTGTCTAGAAAAAGAAGGTCGGAACATTGCCTTGCTCGGTCGCTTTGGCCTGAAGTATACAGTTTAAATAATTTTTTGACCTATTATGTTTTAATTCATCATCGCAAACATTCGCTAATAAATTTCAAGGTACGATGTATAGAATTGTAGCGCCAACAAACTTTACAATTAACGCTCTCAACAAACGTTAACAATTTTTTATAATTTCCTGGGTGATTAATAAATTGATACTAGTAAGACATGAAATTATTCATCCACATTGTGACGAAATGGAAATATCACTTCCAGGTCTACATTTTTATGTTAGGTATTAAACTGGTACGGAAAAGTAGATCTGGTTGCATAAAAGTTTTTTTTACCTCATCTGGGAGAAAATTCATGACAAGAAAAAGTCAGATGACACTCTGTCAGTTGGCGCGCTGAAGCCACCACAGAATAAATGACCATTTAACTAGTAATATTTTATTGGGAGGGATTTACCAGTCCGACTATTTCTGGACACCCATCTGTAACAATCACTTTAATTGTGATGGATAGAATCCATTCTTAAGGCTTCTGAAGTAATAAAGAGGAAAATGACGTAAAGATTCCAGTGAAGTTTATAGTTGAGCACACTTCTTGAAAGGATACAATCGCAATAACGACAATAGCAGCGGTACCGGAGTTGCGTTTATTATCTCCTTAGCTCGATTGACATCTCGAACCAAGCTTAGGCTTCACATTTTTCACTTCACATGAACGTGTTGAGGTAGAAATAACTATCATTTGTTTAATACTTTAATTTATTAAATGCTGTTGGTTCTTACCGTATATTTTGCGTTATTTGCCCTAGTCTACTGCATCAGGTAGCATCCTCTTCTATAGCATCGGTTTTAAGGATAGAGTCTTCGGCTTAAGCTTCATCGATCTAGAAGCGAAAGTAAAACTTTAAGTGACTAAAACTTCAATTTCGCGTCAATTTGGTCACGATATAATCATGGCGGTGAATAATAATGTTTCTAAGGAATGCCATGCATGGAGCTGTCTAGCTCGCACGATCTTAATGTTGCCAGCTCAGCGTCTACAATTTTCGATATTTCTCTGCGTGTAATTTTAGCATCAATAGACAACTTTAATCGTCATTCATAAATCTATCTCATTTTGAAGATCTATCAATAGTGGACCTGATGTAGCATAGCATGATTCATCTTGCTAGTCTAAAAAATACTAGCAACTGAATACCTAGTTGCGTAGAGGCAAAGATATACTAATGAATGACGAATGAAGTTGTCTATTGATGCTAAAATTACAGAACTCAACAAATATATCAGTAAAGAAAAAGTTATATAATCAAAGGAGCATAAAAATACTTGGAGACTAAGGGGTCGGGACAGACGATACTGCTGTAACAACAATAATAAAAAATAATTAGTTAATATTAGATAGCTGAATTAGAAAATTAGATGATTGAATTACTCTTAAAACGTAAGCTTAATAAATGATTAATTAAGTTGCATCAAATATTCAAATATTTCACTTTGCATTTTATCTCAAAATGATTGGGAATTCCGTCAAGATTGTCAATATCCATCTGAAAGCATATTTTGTCATTAATTATCTTAACAAACCTTTCCGAAAATTGGAAGGAATGACGAAGACAAGAGACAAGTAGAAAAAAAGAGACATTATAGGCAATTTAATGTGGCAATGACTGTGGAGCTTCCTAATTACTGCATTTATTCCTGTAAACTACATTTATATTCATTTATTCCAAATTAATACATTTATATTCATGTATCGAGCTACAAACAGTAGGTGGTGTATGAGCCCCTAATGGCAGCCCTGACTCCAAAGCATTAAATCTTTGCGTCTCTTGATGCTGTCGCTCGAGATTTAATATTGAGACTTAATTATTAATTTAATCTATTATCTTTAATTAATTAATTAATTTAATCTATCTAAAATCTATCAAATATTTAATCTATTAATTTAATCTATTAATCGCTCGCCCAGTGAATATTGACTGACGTGTTCACGGAGGCCCTGAGAAGCCCATGCCTTCCTCCTAATTGGGTTCATATTACACACGCGTACCAGTTCAGCCGATTCAAAAATAGAATTAGTATTCAAAGCTTTTTATATTCCCCTCATAACATAATATCATAAAGTCGATTAATTCGTTCACTTGTCTGGCAGCGTTCTCTAACTTGAGAAATTAGTTTGCATCCCAATTGCGCAGCATTTTTTTACCAATTTCTTTGATACCATTGGTCCTGTCGTTTCAAATTTGGAGCTTTCGTTTCTGAAAGTTCCAAATTGGTCGTTTCCGTCAAGAACTTTCATGAAGATAAGACTGAATATCGTGAAGAACTTATTCACAGCCATCCAGAGCTGCAGCGAAATGCTTTAAATAGTTTTGTATTCCATAGAAGCCAGTTGAGTTTTTTCAGAATTGTGTTTTCAGGTAATATAAATTTCATGATTCACATTTCATTCACTCTGTCACACGGGAGTCTATATATATTCCATACATATAAAATTATAAATGCTATATATTATCTAAATGTTGTCTATACAGTATATATTCCAGTCTTAACAATTTCGACGATACACTTAAATCTTGATTATATTGAATTATAGCAATTCAATAGGTGAATAAGTAAACGTGAACTTAAGCACTGTAATTTCACGATAACGTATATTCTATAGAGTATTTACATACTCTATCCTTTACATGTACCTAATTGAAATTACAAGCGGCTCAGGTTAGAGTTTATTCTTTGATTTATTTATTTTATTTTTCTTTGATTTATTTATTTTTTTTTCTTTGATTTATTTATTTTATTTTATTCTTTGTTTATTATTTGATCTATTATTTGATTAATTACCACATGAAAATTTTGTTCACCAGAACTAGATAGAACAATCGAATCGCTAGAAATCAAGGGATATAATTCGGCAGCGGTCTTATCTCTAATCTGCGTCATCCGTGCTATTGTTCAGTCAAGTTTTCTGCTATTAAGGGGAGTGAACGGAAAGGTCGTTCGCAATAAACAAGCGCCGTTTATCTCTCAGATACGCATTGTTTGTTCGCGGTCACGGGCTCATTTCAGAGAACGCCCTGCTCTGGGGCATGGTTTGGTCAGTGCAACGAAGAGTTTGATAGACAAAGCAAGTAATTCATCCTGCACGGTCCTGAGTTTTTGAAATTTGACACTGAACCTCAACGCCCAAGATGGCGCAATTGATGGGAAAATATTTAAAATTGCTTCTTTTATTGGCTTGTGTGTACCATGAATGTAAGTGCACGCACATTGCTGCAAAATTATGATGAACTTTGGCGTAATATTTTTTTAACTAGCTACGAAAAAGTTATTTTAAACTAATCGCTTGAATTTGCATATGCATTCTAACAAGATCTAAGCTCTAATTTATAAATCAAGAGCTCAAATTCGTCGGAATACTTTTCGAAACGTAAACAGTCTGAACAGTTTTCGAGAAGTGAACAGTCTAAACATTTTCCAAGACATTGCCAGACTGAACACTTTCCGATTCATGAGAAGTCTATATTCTCTCAAAGACGTGAGCAGTCCGAACAGTTTACGAGACGTGAACAGTCTAAAAAAATTTTCGAAACGTTATCAGTCAGAACATTTTCCGAGACATGGACAGACTAAACAATTTCGAGGGCGTGAACAGTCTTCATACTTTCCGAGGCTTGAACAGACTGAACACTTTTCGAGACGTCAACAATCCGGCCACTCATTTGAAAGCTAAAAGATATTCAGCAAAGATTTTCTCGAGATTTATATAGATTTATACTCATAATTTTATGGATCGACGAATCGCAACAAAAAATCTCAAATAATAATTAAGAATTGATTGTAAAATCCGAGTAATTTTAAAAAATATGAATTAGGAATATTTCGACAGAGTGAATCGAATCTCACATTTGATTTTAAAGACTCTTATCAATTGTTTTGTTTAGAAGATTTTAGCATCCATGAAACTCTTATGAATTTCGTTTAATCTGAGTGAACGTTTGATACTGTAAGTTCCGTTTGATATAGGTATTGATTTTCAAATACGTTATTTATATGTTCACGTATCTAATAATATCATAAATAAATATTAATATGCTAGATACTACAATGACATGTCAAAAGTCAGAATGACATGTCAGAAGTGACATGTCATAACTAGATGATTGATGATAATATCTACTAATCTACACGTCAGGATGTCGTTTCATCCTACATTATATAGCTCGTTCCTTAATCGTCATCAATCCAGGAAATTTATCAATCTTGAACAAAGAAACAATCAATCGTCGACATAACCAGTTGTCGACATAAAAAATTGTCAACATAACCGATGGTCGATGTAACCAGTTGTCGACATAAAAAATTTCCGACATAACCGATGGTCGACATAATCAGTTGTAGACATAACCAGTTAACGAAGAAAAATAGCCGAAATAACCAATTTGTCGACAGAACCAGTTAACGCAAAAAAAATTGCCGACATGCATACCCAGTTGACGACATAACCAGTTGACGACATAACCAGTTGACGACATAACCAGTTGACGACGTAACCAATTTTAGACTTAACAAGTTGTCGGCATAACCAGTTGTCGACATGACAAATTTTAGACTTAACAAGTTGCCGGCATAACCAGTTGTCGACATAACCAATTTTAGACTTAACAAGTTGTCGGCATAACCAGTTGTCGACATCACCAGTTGTCGACATAATCAATTTTAGACTTAACAAGTTGTCGGCATAACCAGTTGTCGACGTAACCAAGTGTCGACATGACCAGTTGACATAACCAGTTGACGACATAATCAATTTTAGACTTAACCAGTTGTCGACATAACCAGTTGTCGACATAATCAATTTTAGAATTAACCAGTTGTCGACATCACCAGTTGTCGACATAATCAATTTTAGACTTAACCAGTTGACGACATAACCAGTTGTCGACGTAACCAATGGCGACGCAACCAAGTGTTGACATAACCAGTTGACAACATAAACAATTTTAGCCATCATTAATCATAATTAACAGAGAAGCTGGTACCCACTTACAGGTGTTGGCGAGATGGTAGCCAAGTGTCCCCCATACTACATACAGCGCGGGGGCACCAACGACTGCTACCTCTTCCATGGCTGGTCCAAGCGAACCTGGAACGATGCCCAGGCGTACTGTGATGCTGAGAACGGCAATCTTGTTAACATCGGGTCCAAAGATATGGCGGTTAGTTAAGATGTAGAAAATGTTCCTGCGAAAGTATTTCTATCCAGTTCAAATTATTTATTTCGTCGAGTGCAATGTATTCTTGATATGCATGGCAGAATATTGCATTACCTGTCAATGTCACTTATGTCATATCGCCACTCAGCAGATAATGCACTTAAATAGCCGCTTGTCAATGAAAACTTTATAATACTGGCCACAACTACGATTTATAAGTTTCAATTATCACATTAGAAATAAGAAGCTTTTTCGATCACGCTTGCAAGTTGTGACACAGTTTTGTTAACAAAATAGATTGTTTTTTTTTTATGCCAGCGACATAAGTGTTACGACGAAGTTAATGGCATTGACGGTAGGTGTCAAGACTGTCTCTAGATCAAACAGAGTTCATATCTATGCGGCTGGAACTGACAATTTGTTATTTTATTCGTATTGTAATATATTAGAAGGTAAATATAGTTCCCCTGGTATAAAGATCATTTAGACCTCATGCTTCATCCTTCACGGAATAGCTAATTTTTTGTATGCTAGGAATGGATCGCCCTGCAAATCGTAGCGAGCGGCTTGGTCGGGGACTCATCCGAGTTTTGGATTGACGCTAAATATTCGGACAACAGCAGCACGTGGTATTGGGTCAACACCGGTCAACCCGTCAACCTTGAATACCTGTCAGGAACAAACATGAAAATAATTAATTTATTATTTTAATGTTGATATCTACACGGTCAACCCGTCAACCTTGAATACCTGTCAGGAACAAACATGAAAATAATTAAATTATTGTTTTAATGTTGATATCTACACGGCCAACCCGTCAACCTTGAATACCTGTCAGGAACATACATGAAAATAATTAAATTATTATTATTTTAATGTTGATATCTACACGGTCAACCCGTTAACCTTAAATACCTGTCAGGAACAAACATGAAAATAATTAATTTATTATTATTTTAATGTCGAGATTTACACGGCCAACCCGTCAACCTTGAATACCTGTCAGGAACAAACATGAAACTAACTAATTTATTATTGTTTTATTGTTGAGATCTACAGAAGTACCAATTTTTATGTTGACCATATGATTAACAATGATAACAATTCCATAATAACAATGATATCGCTAATTCCACAAAAATTGACCTAATTAACAAATTAAGATTCAATTTAACAATAATTGGACGCAAGGAACTTTGTAAATAACAATTGTAATAATATTTGTAAATAATATTTGTAAATAATATTTGTAAATAATATTTGTAATGTATATGAACACTAATTTTCCAGACCGGAAGACCCGCGCCCGAGAGATGGGCTGTACGGCGTCATCACCATTGACACTACGCTGCTCGGACACCCCCCGGACGATGAGTATCACTTCATCTGCCACCGTGAGATCAGTGAGTGCCTGCTAATAATATAAATACAGCAACCTGTATTTTATTTTATGGGTGCTACATAAGCTAAATTTTACCAGTATAGCTGAAGAGTACAAGCTAGAGTGCTCCTTAATGAACTCCAAAGGCACAGTTAAAGTTCGATTTTTGGACAAAGTCGACTTTGTATAAGCTCTGCTGTGATCGTAAGCTTTGATGTGATTAAATACATCGCTATTTGATATAATTACAGCCCATTATATGTATTAATTATTTGTAAATAATTTTCATCGGAAGTGCAGATAAGTTGCACATTATTACTATTAAATTAGACAACTCTAACAATGACGCTTTACTACCTTCCGTTTTTCCTACAGCAAATAATTCCAAATAAAATGTTTAGAGAATGGAGAGTGGTGAGCCATTGTAATGCAGTAAATAATGAATAATTATTAATGAAGTAAATAATGAATAAATATTAATAATTGTTGTGGTTTGTGCTGCAGGTGAGCCAATGTACTGCGATGTTGAGGACGGGTGGCGGTACACCATGGACAGGTGCTACAAGGTGTGTATGTTACTTAACTTATTTGTTTATTAAAATCAGTTGCGACAGGGTATTTTCAAAGCTATTAATGGTGAAAATATAAAATAGAACTAAGAAAATAGTAGTGAAAAATTATATGCTTATCGCCAATAAAATTCATATCTACGATAATGTTCTAATGATGTAATGGTTTTCAATTGTAGCTTTGGAGAAATCTTCAAAATGCTTTTTATAATCAGAAATAGATCGATTATAGGATACGTTCAACCAACGAAAATCGACCATCAAACATTTTTATTACCACGTTTTTCTTAGCTTGCTTTCGTGTCTGTCTGTCTGTCTGTTTGTGATGATCAAATCTTGCAATCGATATTTCACCAACTTTCCCGCTAGCTAGCGCTCTGAAACTTTTAGGGAAGCACTTGGGTCGGGCTGTACGTTCACCATCAAATTTCCAAAATTCGTGTGTTGTGTGCTTTTCGCTTTAATCATAAATCTGCCCGATACACGTTTTTTGGGGCGAGCCATAATTTATTTTCTACTTTTTAGTCCACAAGAAAAACGTGTTTTTTTAAATTGTTTAAGTATTTTATTATTGGACTATTTAGGGATCAAAGTAATTGGGGTCTTCGCTTAACTGGGTAATTGCGTTAGAAACTTTTATATTATAGGTTAGTTTATTTGATACTGGCATGAATCATGGCATATAGACCGTAAGATTGTTATCATGGCGTGATATCTCATCAGATATCGAAATATTATTTCAGATCTTATTTAGACGTATTCAACGTGTCTCTCACAGACATCTGACAGTTCAACTACGTGGCTGGACGGAGAAGCGCAGTGTCGGGACGTGAGCGGTCATCTCATCACAATCCACGACTTTCAGGAGCAGAACTTTGTCTTTGACGAAGGGGTCAGGCAACACGACAACGTCTGGATCGGCATCACCGAGCTGGTGACCTAAACTAAAAACTTTGTAGTGTAGCAGTAAACAATACACCGAAATGGCTTTGTGTCCATAAATTAGGAAAACTGGTAATCTAAACTCGAAGGTTGGTAAGGTAGCAGTGAAGAAGTAACCGTCGTGGCTTCGTGTTCACGAATCAAGGAAGCTGATGACCTAAACTTTCACAGAGTCATGGAGTGACCTATACTTTCATGGGTAAATTATTTGGTTTCTGCAATAGTAGAATGGTCGTAAGTGCAAGAATAAGTTACCAAATTGATGCAATGGTAAGGATTTAAAGCCGACAACGGGATTGTATCTTTTAATGAACAGCTTTCCGCAAATGAAAGGAGTAATAAACGTGCTGTAAATTTGCAACGGACGATATTGGGATATAATTTTGAGAAATTTCAAATGGTTCTCAAGTAGGTAATTTATTACTGAATTTGTTAGCTAGAGCAAAAATGGATGAAGTTCCTTGAGAATGCAGCAATATTCTGTTTTTAAAAATTGTACTGGGACATTTTGACTTCTTGAAGGAGACTAGGGCATGCTTAAAGTCTTGGAAAGATAGTCTTGCGCAGCGGTGCGATGATTGACATATACCAACTAGTGGTGGGTGTTAAAATTGGAACATGTCCTAACTTAAAGCTTGGAAACGAAACAAAATTTGGTCGTAATTTGATGTAATTTATAATACATTTATAACGCTAAAAACTGTATTCACAATCTTGCAATTTTACATACATTTCAGGGCCATGAAGGAAACTTCACGTGGATTGGAGAGAGCAGCAGCTTCTTGCTATGGAACGAAAATCTGAGCATGCCAGTGTGAGTAATTGATTGTTCTTTAATCCACATCTATGTTTGAACTATATAGTTTTCCAAACACTTATTGTTTTTCTACTAACAAGTTACACGATTTCTATGAGAGGGTATATGTTTTGTCTATTATCTATATCATTTCCATGTAATAAGGAAATTTTATAGACAAAGAAATGAGCATTACTTTGTGTGGGATATGGTGGTGGAAGAGAGTTTTAGCTATCATTCTTTCTTCAGTCGCAATGCCGATAAACGCGAAGATAACCAAATAAATTTCGTGGTAGTATTGGTATTTTTATTTTTAACGTAACAGGGCCTATACTTTCAGAAAAAGTTACGAGATCGTAAGTTCATCAGCCAATCATTGACAGCCTTTCAAGCAAAATCCACCAATCATAGACAAGAAAATAGAGCGTAAGTACTTACGTTCAGTTAGCGAGTTTTGAAAGTATGGCCCCTGCTGAGGTGCATGTGCGTCTTGTGCTCAATGCTTATCTGGCTAGTATTCTGGAAGGAGTAAATATTCTTCCCTTTTTGCAGCAAGAACCAATTAAAAGGCATCAATTTCTCGCTGTATTTTCTTTGCACTTTTCAGACCAATTTTTTTAATATTCTGTAGTTTATAAAACTAATTCGTATCAACAAATAATTTCATCGTAAGAACGATAAATTTTAGTACTGCACTATCAATAATAATATTCAATTATGAATTGAATGATGACATCTGCAGTTCGTTGATCCAAGAAAAATCTTAAATATTCCACAAGCAGAACACGACGAGCTACTAACTTTCGAACAAGACAAATTCAATCATTTAGTTTTTGTGGAACAGAGAGTTTTACGTGGGCTACTTGCGACAGTTCTGGTAAAATCGGTTAGGAGGCTGAACGGTTAAGCACAGCAAAGTTGGAGCAGTGAGTTGCGTGTTCGAGACCGCAACGAGCTGTGAAAATTCTGCGATGTTTAGAATCAGCGACCGGTCTAACGTTATAATAAACGCTCACACCGCTAAACTGTACGTTACTGTGGTCAATCTTTCAAAAAAAAGTTAAGAGATTCTAAGTTCATTAGCCAATCATTGACGGCCTTTCAAGCAAAATCCACCAATCATAGACAAGAAAATAGAGCGTAAGTACCTACGTTCACTTAGCGGATTGTGAAAGTATGGCCCCTGTGTTTTTCGTCTTAGCTTCACTCAAGTTTCCCGATAATTGTATAAAGTTTGTGCGCAGATCAATGAACGGTTACGCCAGCGGGGTGGTCGACCATGAAGTCTCCCCTGGCAAATGGGTGACTGAGGACTCAAGGAACGATAACCACTTCATCTGCCAGCGGGAGAAGGGTGAGGGTGTTTCTTGTGATAAATAAACACGAAAAAATCTGAAGCGCGGTTTTAATGTTTTTTCTCCCAGCGTGTGTTATGTTATTTCTACCATAACCATATAAAGTGGCAGCTGGTTGAAGTTGACAATATTCTAGGTGATGTACCCAAAATTCTGTTCGCACGGAAAACTCCATCGTATGAATGTTATTCTTACCTAAATTACCGGCTAACAACGACATAAATAATTAAATATTATCTAGGTGCTTGTGTGATGGGCTGGCAGCTGTACGGGGACTCGTGTTACTACTTCAACCGTCAAGACGACGACATCGTCACGTGGGACACCGCGTACGATCTCTGCGCGGGGGTGGGTGCCCACTTGGCCATCATTGAGACCGCTGACGAGGACGGCTTCTTGCACTCGTCATTCAGCGGCGGGGAGTATCTCTGGCTTGGCCTGTACTGTGAGTTATGAGCTAAATATGTTATATATACGTAATCAGTACGGTCTCTGGCTTGGCCTGTACTGTGAGTCACGAACTAAATATGTTATATATAATCAGTACGGTAGGGAGCACCTCTGTCTTGGCCTGTACTGTGAGTTATGAGCTAAATATGTTGTATATAATCGGTACGGTAGGGAGCATCTCTGGCTCGGCCTGTACTGTGAGTTATGAGCTAAATATGTTATATATAATCAGTACGGTAGGGAGCATCTCTGGCTCGGCCTGTACTGTGAGTCACGAACTAAATATGTTACATATAATCGAAAACGGTAGGGAGCACCTCTGTCTTGGCCTGTACTGTGAGTCATGAGCTAAATATGTTACATATAATCAGTACGGTAGGGAGCACCTCTGGCTTGGCCTGTACTGTGAGTCACGAACTAATTACTTTAATAAAAATCGTTAGAGCTCCAGCATATCAACTGCGCATGAATTATATGTGAAAAAAAATTAAAAATCCATTGTTCCAGAAGAGATAACGTTTTCTGGACTATATAATACAAGAATTATTATCATCATCAAGATTAATTTACCATTTATGGACTTTACCAAGAATTTAAAAGTAAAGAAAATAGCCAAAAAGTTCACCATTTCTTATAAGCGAAAACGTTTCGGAGTCCAGCTCCATCGTCAGTTCAAAACCTAGGTAAATTTGCGACTTAAGCAGCCAAGTGATTTTACCATTTATGGACTTTGTATTAGTGAACAAAAGCGATGAAGGCTTCATGTGGATTGACGGCACACCGTACTCGCGAAACTACACCAAGATGTCTGAAGAAGATGAAGCGAGCGCCATCGCAGCTGGGGATAGGAAGTGCGTGTATGCTCGGTTGACGGGTGAGTCGTCTAGAATATTTTAGTTACTCATGTTGGATTAATTTCAAGTAGTAACTTGAACTTAGTTTTAACTGTTGCAAATTTATACGCTGCAAGCACAATAAATATTTTGAATTCATCATGGAAAATCCCAACTACTCATTTAATCTGCTATAAACTGAGTCAGCAGCATTGCTTACACACACTCCTACATGGATAGGTACAGTAAACTTCAGAAAAGTCCCTTAGAGTACATTAAATTTGATTAAAGTCTTGCAAAAGATGTTAAAGTCCTGTTGGTCTTCAGAGAGCGGCGAGGTAAACTTCAGAAAGTCCCAAAGACTGCATTAAATTTAATTAAAGTCTTGCAAAAGATGTTAAAGTCCTGTTGGTCTTCAGAGAGCGGCGAGGTAAACTTCCGAAAGTCCCAAAGACTGCATAAAATTTAATTTAAAGTCTTACAAAAATCATTAAAGTCCTGATGGTCGCCAGAGAGTGGCGAAGAGACCTGGACTCCAGTCGTGTGCACCGACACCCACAAGCACGTGTGTGAGGTTGACAAGAGCACGCCAGTCCACATCCCGCCCGCCCCATGTCAGTCCCTTTTTACAACACTTCTCTTTAACTTCACTTCTTGTTGTTTGTTTGTCTGCTACAAATCTTAAAATCAATATTCAACACACTTCTACCTGTCCAATCGATCTGAAATTTTGCACACTTGCGTAAAGTTGTAGACAATGCAAGAATCAATTGATAGAATAAATGATTTGAAAATTTGAAAAAATTCGAAATTAAAAAAAAATAAAAATAATTTTGTCAGCTACAAATCGTATTATCGATATTTGACACACTTCTACCAGTCCAATCTATCTGAAATTTTGCACACTTGCGTAAAATTGGAGGCAATGCACGAATCAATTGACAGAATAAATACTTTTATAAATTAAAAAATTTTTTCATTATTAAAAAAATGTAAAAATTATTTTGTCTGCTACAAATCTTATAATCCATATATGACACAATTTGACCTTTCCAACTGATCTGAAATTTTGCACAATTGCATAAAGTCAGAGACAATGCATGAATCAGTTGAAAAAATAATTAATTTTGATAATTTACAAAATTTTGATATCCTAAAAAATATTGAAAAATAATTTTTTTAATTTATGCAAATAAAATTAGAAATTCATTGTACATGTGTAACATCCAAGACACTGGATTGTTCAGAAGTGTTGTTTTTAAAAAGTAATTTTTAAACGCATGTTATTAACTTCACTTCTTGTTGTTTGTTTGTTTGTTTGTTTGTCTGTCTGCTACAAATCTTATACGTATTCAATATTTAGTACCTTTCTACCTGTCCAATCTATCTGAAATTTTGCACACTTGCATAAAGTTGGAGACAATGCATGAATCAGTTGACAGAATAAATAACTTTGAAAATTTACAAAACTTTTATATATTAAACAAATTGAAAATTAATTTTTTAATATATGAAAATGAAATTAAAAATTCATTGGACATGTGTAGCATAAAAAAACTGGATTCTTTGAACGTGTTGTTTTCAAAAACTAATTTTTAAACGCCTATTACGTCTCTTTTGTCCAATAATCGGCATATTTCATATTATGAAGTTTTCTTCCTTTTTTTTGAGATTCTTCATGTTGAACGGTCTCGCAAAGCACTTTCAATAACTATTAACGGTCATTAGCAGTTTAAATAAATTTTTATGAATGCAGTTAGCTAACGAAATTTGGACCTCGTAACGCAAATCTCTGCTTCTAACAAGATGATTGAAGCATCTTTCTTTCCTCCGATTTAGCTTTGAATTTAAAGGACTATCGTCACTTGCTGCTTCAATATATGTAGATCTCGCGACACATAAATGAAGGTCCCATTTTGTGGGGTTAATTTGGTATCTAAGAAGTACTTCTAGTACGCGTATTTTGTCCTTAAGTTATATGAGTGCTTCGAATATTAAAATTTTGAGTTGATTTCTGTCGATTGTGTTGCAGTTCACATATTCCTTTTTCGTCTATGCTTCTCTCAAGTTTCCTGGATACTTGTATAAAGTTTGTGTATTGGTTCTGCAGAGATTATTAATTGTACAAATTCTATATGATTGTCTCTGAATTTTTTTTTATATTTTAGTAAATTACTGCATGGTGGCATGTACTGAGGACAAAGCGTTAAGTAAATGTGAAGTGCATTATACTAAAATGTATAGGGTATGCTATTTACCGACGGTATAACAGCCTTACATTAAAAACGAAAAATTCCGGAATTCCAACAGGTGCAGCGCCACCGTAGGAATGAACAGTAGGATCAGTGCCATCGAAGCATGTTCATTTATTGCGCTACATATGTTGATATCAATCATAAGTACCAGTTTAAGAAGTTTTATGATAGTATAATTATTTGTAGAATGTGAAAACTATTTTTTTTTGTGTTTAAACCTTCACCAAACTTACTAGGTTATATTCTCCTCGAATGTCGCTCAGTGGACCGGTGCAAAAGTATCAATATTCTCGTATGTCGCTCAGTGGACCGGTACAAAAGTATCAGTATTCTCGTATGTTGCTCAGTGAACCAGTACAACAGTATCAATATTCTTGTATGTCGCTCAGTGAACCGGTACAAAAGTATCAATATTCTTGTATGTCGCTCAGTGAACTGGTACAACAGTATCAATATTGTCCTTGTATGTCGCTCAGTGAACCGGCACAAAAGTATCAGTATTCTTGTATGTCGCTTAGTGGACCGGTACAACAGTATCAATATTCTTGTATGTCGCTAAGTGAACCGGTACAAAAGTATCAATATTCTTGTATGTTGTTCAGTGAACCAGTACAAAAGTATCAATATTCTTGTATGTTGCTCAGTGAACCGATACAAAAGTATCAATATTCTCGTATGTCGCTAAGTGAACCGGTACAAAAGTATCAATATTCTTGTATGTTGTTCAGTGAACCAGTACAAAAGTATCAATATTCTTGTATGTTGCTCAGTGAACCGATACAAAAGTATCAATATTCTCGTATTTCGCTAAGTGAACCGGTACAAAAGTATCAATATTCTTGTATGTTGTTCAGTGAACCAGTACAAAAGTATCAATATTCTTGTATGTTGCTCAGTGAACCGATACAAAAGTATCAATATTCTCGTATTTCGCTCAGTGAACCGGTACAAAAGTATCAATATTCTTGTATGTTGTTCAGTGAACCAGTACAAAAGTATCAATATTCTTGTATGTGGTTCAGTGGACCGGTACAAAAGTATCAATATTCTCGTATGTGGTTCAGTGAACCAGTACTGCCCTGAGGGCTGGACGCTCTACCAGGACTTCTGCTACTACGCCTCGCAGGAGGAGATGTCATGGACTGCGGCCGAGAACCAATGCTCCAACCAAGGCGGACACTTGGCCTCAGTCACCTCATGGCCTGAGCAGGACTACATTCATAGTAATCAATTATTTATTACGAAAAAATTTATTCTCACCTTGCTACCCTAACAAAATTTAGAGTCGCCCCAGCTTCTTGTATTCAAAATCAGAAGCTGACGCGTCTGTAAATTTTCAGTGGGTAGAGGCAGTAGACTTCTATTCACGCTACACTGTCTTGTACTTAGCATTACCACATGTCCAGTAACATACACTTCACTTTCTTATTCTTTTCTAGTTTTGGAATTCACTACACTTTAGTGCTCATTTTCTGCTCATAAAGTATAATTTCATATTCCGTTCAAGCAAAATATTCTGTATTCTGTGTAACTTCGTTGAATTGTGTTTCAATATACATGTTGTATGCCCGCGCTGATGACGTAAAAATCAAAAGATATTTTTTTCTGCGCATTGGTTGCTCATTGCATTTACTCATGCATGAAATATAATGCTGATTTTTTTATATCCGACCGCTTATCCGCATATCTCTGCTACTGTCTGTTATAGTGTCATAAAACGCTACGAAGAAAAAAAAAAGAGCACTATTGCAACTATTGTTTATTCTTGAATGGTTAAAATATCAGCTTATTATTTTAGGCCCATGTCCCGGTTAAATATTCTTATTCCCTTATTCTTATTCCCTTATTCTTTATCCCTTTATCCTTGTGTTCGTGTCTTACGGAAAAGTATACAGGTCTCTTAAAAACTACCTATTCATGCCGATTTGTTTCTCTCTTCTAGATAAACAATACATTTTAAAAGTAAATTTTTTGATTTATTTTGGTAAAAAGGCTAAAGATTACCTATTGATCTTGGTTCGTATTGATAATTTGAAGCTTTTGACTTCATCGAAAAGCGATGCAATCTTTTGACTTACTCCTTTTACCTCGCCTCGCAGCCCACGTACTGAGCAGCAGTTGGATCGGCCTCAATGACCGCAAAGAAGACGGAAGTTATCAGTGGAACGATGGCAAAATCGTTACCATTGTCAACTGGAATACGGGTTTGTTTCATAATTACAGCCATATTTCATCCACTTTCGATAACCGTATATTTAATGATACCTTTTGTAAGCGTGAATCATTCACTTCTGACTACCCGATTTAAAAAATAACTGACCTTATAAAATACCTTTGCATACAAGAGTAGTTCTTACCTTGTAAATTATAAAAAATTTGTTATTTGTTTACGAATATAATAACTTTGAATAATAGACTTAGTTGGTTAGTTGTTTGTTTAGTTCCGCGACGTTCGACGCCGAGAAACGCGTACCCCATCGAACTTATTGCAGTCATCATTGATCATAAAGTAGGCGATCTTTGACAGATATTATTTTAGCATTACTCGGACACGGCTTCATTCAAACATTTTTTGCTCTCCATGATAATAAATTAATATTTTGAACATTCATTTAATTAATGAGAGGCAAAGCTAGCCTCTAATCCCTAGTAATATTATCCCCTCAGGCTTCATAACGTTGAAATAATTTTCAGGTGAACCCAGTGGCGGTAGCAAGAACTGCGTAGAGCTCCTATCATTCGAACTTTTTTTTGTTCTCCGTGATAATAAATTAATATTTTGAACATTAATTTAATTAATGAGAGGCTATGCTAGCCTCAAATCCCTAGTAATATTACAACATCAGGCTTCATAACTTGAACTTGAACTTGAACTCGTCGGATGGTTGAGGCCTCTAGCAAGGCCTGTTCATCTCTCCAAAGTCGAAGCCAACCCAATTCAATGCAGGCCCCTAATTCTGGCATTCTGGCTTATATAGTGATGGCAGGTCCCTCCAGTGATGGTCAAGTAAGTTTTTAAAAGAGTTCACAGATGTAGCCGAGACCAAAACGTTGAAAATAACTTTCAGGAGAGCCCAGTGGTGGAAGCGAGAACTGCGTAGAACTCCTGGCAGAGGGCGGGTATTGGAACGACCTCGGGTGTTCTGCCCTGAAGACGTTCGTATGCAAGAGGGCTTACTCTACCACGCCTCTAGCACCTGTCACTACCACTACACCAGCTCCCGACTCTACCAACTGCGGTTATGGTTGGGAAGAGGATACAACGACCGGCGTATGTTATAGGTTTTTTGCCGAACACATGACATTTGCGGACGCCAGACTACATTGTCAGGAGCAGCACTACGTAGAGGGGCAATCGCAGCCTGATTTGGCCTCCATCAGTACCGAACAGGATCAAATATTCGTGCAGGGTATGTGAATAGTTTAGTGTTGTGAATAATTTAGTTCGATGGACATTATGAATTGCCATTATTTTATGGCTCATCAAGCTTTCAAGTGATTCTGATGAAATATAATTGTGTACAAGTAATTCCATATTATCGATAGTTTCAATATTAACGACAGTTTTTTCGTGCTATTATTTTAAACTATTGGTGATGATTCAATCCATTATGAATTTTGGGCACCACTGACGCACTTCGATGATCAAATGTAAACACTTCTTTACTTAATTCCTTTAACCTATTTCAAACTGACGTCCCTCTCGGTCCCAGTCATTTACGTACGAATAACATTGATGACGGTTAATGTATCCGGACACGTAGGGTTAAATCTATTGACTTTACTGATGATTTGTTCGCCACGCAGGAGTGATAGCACGAGCCCAGGTGCAGGATCACTCGATCTTCGTAGGACTCTCTAACGATGTGGACGGTCTCTACTGGAGAGATGGAGACCCCGTGGGTATACTGAACTACGCTGACGGCGAACCTAACGGATATTACTACGAGTACTGTACTGGTAATGTGACGATTTATCATAAAATTAATTTTTATTCTGGAGATTCCTTGTCTATAGGCGTATTACTATAAAATTGATTTTTATTTCAGAGATTTCTTAGCTATAAATCCTGGTTTATACATACATATACTATCTGGCTATTCTGTGAGATGCAAATAGCATTCGAGCTGAGCAATGTATTCAAAACACAAGATTTAGTTCAGAGATTTATACATACTAATAACTAATCATTGAGATATACTTTTATTCGTTGAGCGATTTATTCGAAACGTAAGCTGTATTTCAGAGATTTCTTATATATTAAGCATGGATTTTACGAACTATCTGTCTAGCATTTGAGATCCAAATAGCATTTCGAGAGTTTCTGCTCATGTTAATATTTGATTATTTAAAATAGTGAAATGTTATTATTTTCAGATTTCTTTCCAATTTCATCTGATAGATCAAATTTTTATACTACTTCAGAATTTTTGGTGTTGTGTTTAATCTCATTAGGAGTATTCGTGCATATTTAAAACCAACGGTTTTTTAATTCGTTCCATTTTTTTAGAAATTTCCTCGCATAATTAAAACTTTAATGACCTGAATTAACTTATTAATGCCCAAAAATAACACAAATATTTGTCAACAGAAATATACAACGATGGCTTCTATAAATGGAACGACGGTTACTGTGAGAACAGACTTGCCTTTGTTTGTGAGAAGAAAGGTAGGTTAAATTGAGTTGCGTAGGTAAAACTTTTCATTAGATATATCACTTTTTTGCATTATCATACTTAATTGCTGAAACAGATATGTTGAGCATCAGACGTGACGTCGAACAGTAACATTATATGTTTTATGTTCAAGAAAAGTCCTTTTTTTTCATTTAAAAAAATTATGTTCAGAGGGCATATATTTAGGCAAAAAATTTGATTAAAAAAATTTTTAATACTGAAACTTACATCCTAATTGCATATTAATGAAGTCACCGATGTCAACTAGCGATTTTCATTTGCATATTTTATACAAATGCACCTCACTATTTTCTTCATTTCTGCAGGCCTCGCTTACAGAGCTCCGACAATTCCTGCCACAACCTCAGGTGAGATTCCTTTGAAATGATGAACTTTCACATAAGTCATTGCGGAACCAAAAGAATATTTTAAAACACTATCTGCCACACCTGTGATAAACGCACACATAGGCTTTCAATATACTATTTTCAAATTATACTTCTCACTAACATGGTATCGCAAATGTAAGTATGTTTGTACAGCGAACATTGATAATGAGTATATTTGTTGCTGAACAGAATGCCCCACCGGCTGGAAGAAGTTTAATTATAACTGCAACGGTATTTCCTACTCCAAACACTACTACATTTCCTTTTATCCAACGGAACAGAATGCCCCAGTGGCTGGAAGAAGTTTACTGATAACCGCTATCTTATTTCCTACTCCAGACACTACTACATTTCCTTTTATCCAACTGAACAGAATGCCCCACTGGCTGGAAGAAGTTTAATGATGACTGCTACTACATTTCGTCTGGGACGGAGCTCACGAATTGGGATGCAGCACGCAAAATGTGCACCTACATGTACGGCAGCAAACTTACGTCCATCTACAGCCAGGAAGAAAACCAGTTCATCTATGGTGGGTGCATTGTGTTCAATAGTAACGAGTACGACGTGCACGTTGCAGGATAACAGTGTTTATATTTAGTCGAACCGTATTTATCGTGAAATTTACAATACCGTCTGTGGTTAAAGAATTTAGTCGAACCGTACTTATCTTTTACAGTATAAACTTATAGATTTAGTAGAGCCGTATTTATTGTGAAATGGATAATGAAGTCTGTGGTCTAAATTGAACTCCAAAGTGCACATTTAATTATATTGTCATTTATATAGTGTAATAAGTAATTTTTACCCCAAAGATTCGTTCGCAAACGAATTGACGAGCGTGTGGATAGGACTTCGGGCAGACGACACCGGCAACCTGACGACGTGGCTGGATGGTGGCAGCGTCCAGTACAGCAACTGGTATCCTGGTGAACCCAACGACTGGGCCGGCCACGAGAAATGCGGAGAAGTGGGTTTCTGTCACAATTTATAATATAAGTTATTTTTATTCAAAAAATTTTGTCAGGAATTAAAATTTGATGTCCATATGACTGAGAAAAATTATAAGACATTCGATTAAATCAACTACGAAGCTATGTAAATGCATTGTACATTCAAAAATATTAGCCAGGTTGACGACGATGAACCGATAATTGCCTATATTCAGTAGCGTGTGCGTTTCAAGAGGTAGAATGACTTACAAACTGCCGACTATGTCTTGACTTAGTGAAAAGTTGTAGGCATAGAAAATAAAATATTATAAGACCAGGTTTTACACGAAATTTTTGCCGGACCACCTAATACTTCGAGCTCATTGAACAAGAGCCACATCGAGAACTGTCAGAAAACCGCATACATATATTCAGCATATTCCAACTGCAATATTAAAGGTTAATAAGAAATTAATGATAATATCAAAACTAAACAAGTTTTTTTGTAATCTTAGTTTCTGCTTTCTAAATTATTTACCAACTTCTGGCTAAAACGTATAAATAAAGTGACTTTATATAAAGAAAAATCGAAATCAATTCGAAATAGTAAATTAAAATCTACATGCATTGCAACATGTTTGACTTGACATGCATCCGGGCAGCATAATATGCTCTGACTGCCTGCATGTGGCTCGCTGGTCCAAGTTTGTCAACATCTGACGTATTAACCAGTGTGGATATATTTTTTCACTTCCTCATTTCTAGTTCTCAAAAGGAACATAAATATACCTATTGATGATGTAAAATTGGAGTGAACTACAATTTTACTGTTCTTAGAGTTCGATGTTTAAATATTGAGCAACATTGAGGTGCCTTATTGAGATATACCCTACAAATCTACGATGTTGGCCATTAGATGTTTTGAGGTACATCGTTACTAATATATTGGTTACGATGTACATGTTGCCATCAGATGCACATGTTGCCATCTGGCGTACATGTTGCCATCACATGTACATGTTGTCATCAGATGTACATGTTGTCATCAGATGATTGTCATCAGATGTACATGTTGCCATCAGATGTACATGTTGCCATCAGATGTACATGTTGCCATCAGATGTACATGTTGCCATCAGATGTACATGTTGCCATCAGATGTACATATTGTCGAGCAACGGTGACGGGGCAGGCCAATGGAACGACAAGCCCTGCGAGTCTACCGAGCGCTACGCCTGCAAGACTCTTATTAGTGAGTGATGTTAATGAGTCATCTGCGTAAATGAGTGAGTTAATGTGCAGATTGAATGAAGGATAAACAGCACGATTAATGAGATGTACAGCAGAGGATTAGGATTAACGAGGGATGTACAGTGCAAAGTATGAAGAAATTATTTGGGTAGAGCGTATTGTTTAGCATATTCATCCTTGTTGTTTATATATTTGTAAAATATTATGGCACATTTTCAGAAGTTGCATTGCAATTGATAATAATACACATTTAGTAACAATTATTTCAGATGGCGTATTCGTGTAACAATCAACACTTTAAAAGTTATTTTAATATGTACTTATTCTTAAGAAAGTAATAACTAGCAGTAAATCGTGCAATGCATTCATTTCACTTTGCTCGGGTTCTTATGCTAGACACTGGCGTAATTATCATATTTAGATTACACATTTCCCCAGTTATCGAAATTGTAATTTCTGCATTAATTAAGTTTTTTCTTGGAAAAAGTTGAAATATTTTCTGTTGCCTTCGACACTGGCGTAATTATTATATTTAGATTACGTATTTCCCCACTTATCGAAATTGTAATTTCTAAATGAATTCATTTTTTTGAAAATTTTAAATATTTTCTATTGCCTCAGAAACGTGAAATTGTAATTTCTGCATTAATCAAGTTTTTGCTTGGAAAAAGTTTAAATACTTTCTGTTGTCTCAGAAACGTGTCCCGAAGGCTGGAGTTACAAGGAAGGCAAATGTTATTACGCCAGCACCAGTTGGGAGACCTGGCATAACGCTATCGCCAAGTGCAAGGAAATCGAAGGCGAAGCCACGCTCGTCAGTTGGCACTCACAAGACGAAGTCGACTATGTTCAAAGTGAGCTTTAAGTTATATGTGAAAAATTTATTACAATTTAAAAATTTCGTGAAGACAAGCGCGGCATATGCGTTAAAATTGGCATGGAGTGCGTGTACTGTTGAAAAAATTTTTAGTTATTAGTGTAAAATTTCTTACAATTTAACAAATTCATGAACACAAACGTGGCATTATGGCGCTTAAATCGGCATGGAGTGCGTGAATGTTCACAGTTGAAAAAATTGAATTCAAGTAGTGATGAGAAACACTGTTTAGCAAGTAATATGCATGTGTTCAAGATATTATTCGTTATTAATTTACCCCAAAGGTTTTGATGGTGATCGTGTTGATTGCCTGACCTATAAGATCAATAATAAAGAGAAAGTTCTCTAATTGAAAGAAATATCAAGTTTGTGGCTCTTGTGTGGGCGCTAGTATAGTGAAGACCAACGTTTCTCAATAACTGAGACGGTAACATGAAAAAAAAATTCCATATCCACCGGACCAGCATCTTTCCACAACAACTCTTAATATCTTTTTCCTATATGCTGTCTCCAAGCTTCTGAGAACAAGAATAAGTAATAACATAAATGTCATAAATAATAACAAGTAATAACCATATATTTACCAGGTTTACTAGACGATGAGGTAGGTAACACCTGGGTAGGGTTGACGCGTGATGCAAGTGGCGGCGACTGGTACTGGAGCGACGGTAGCGCTACAGACTTCATCAACTGGAGGCCCGGTCAGCCGGACCACAACGACACGGAACTCTGCGCCCTAACCTCGTCTGTCCCCGACAGCGCCGGCTACGGGATGCTCGACAACTATCCTTGCAACGAGTCCTATTATTATGCCTGCGAGTTTTTCCCCAGTGAGAATCTAGCTCTAGATTTGTTTTTTTTTATATGGGAAATCGATTTGTGTGATTATAGATAGTATCTTTTGCTTTATCGACAACTATCCTTGCAACGAGTCCTATTATTATGCCTGCGAGTTTTTCCCCAGTGAGAATCTAGCTCTAGATTTGATTTTTTGGGGAAATCGATTTGTGTGATCATAGATAGTAAGTATCTTTTGCTTTATGTTATTTAGCTTTGTATCAGTTTATATGAAAGCAAAATCCCAAGACTGGAATTTAGGTTTAACATCGCGATCAATCATTTTGTTTATAAAAGAATGTACGTCACCCAATAAATTTTGAATAACTTTATTAAATTCTCTGAACTTATGTTTATTTAAAAAAATCTGAACTTTATGTTTATTCTGTCGGTTTTATTTTTTTAAAGCGCACAGAGTTACTTGCGACGAAGGCTGGTCGCGCTATCACGGTCATTGCTACGGCAGCAGCGACGTGCTTTTCCCCGGCGTTCACTTCACGTTTCAGGACGCTAGGAAGCAGTGCCAGGCGCTCGACGGAGACCTTGCGTCCATCTGGTCAATACAAGAAAATGATTTCGTCTACAGTTTGATTCCTGGTAGGTTTTGACTGTGTGTTCCATTTGCCCTGAAAAAAAGATTGAAAAATAGGTGTTCTCGATTATAGCATTCAGGTATATTTACCTAAATTCCAGAATTTATTTAGAATTTATGTAAGTGCATGTCAAGCCTAGGGCTAATTTATATTTTCTTACTAATATATGTTCATGGTTGAGGAAACAGTGCCTAGTCGTACCAAACGTTCTATCAATTGAGTTTTCATATATAAATTTTTTAGCTCACGTGAACCTCGCGTTATGTAATCATAGATCACACTGATTTTAGAACGGAATGTCTGGACATACTCGTATGAATACATTACTTTTTCAGTTACCTGTGCTGGTAGCATGTCAATAATTTTGCGCCTTCTTAAGTAATTTTGAGTGATGAATTTCCAAACACTTTTCTTGTTCAGCAACTTCTCTTAGATTAACGCTTAGGAGACAATCAGTTGTTGATAGTCAAAACATTATCTTTGTAAAATGCGAACTAAATATAAACGTTAATGAACTATTTGTCTCTGTAATATTTATCCCGTATATTTTGTTACCCAAACAGAGAACACAGAAGACTTCTTCTTGATCTCTGTAAAATTTACCCCGAATATTTTATTACCCAACAGAGAACACAGAAGACCACTTCTTGATCTCTGTAATATTTACCCCGTATATTTTGTTACCCCAACAGAGAACACAGAAGACCACTTCTTGATCGGGCTGCAGGGCCTGGGCACGGATGGTCCTCTCACCTGGAGTGATGGCACCGACACGATCTACTCTAACCTGGCCATGATAAGCAGTTAGTGTAAAATATATTAATATATTATACTGCACAGTGACATCAAACAACGTTATTTACTTTTCTTTACAGACAACAAACGACTTTATTCACTTTTCTTCATCAGTCTCTAGATTATTGAATATTTTTTTCATTTGACACATTATTTATTAATCCTCTAAGCTGTGTTGTCTGAAGGCTGTCCAGAAAATTGGCATGAGGAATAGGTTTTGTTTTAAAAATTAAATTATTTATTTGTTTAATGTTCTGAAGAATCATTTCAGGCATCGATCATGTTTTCTTTTAAATGACTCTTTGAAATTAGTGCTTGATGCATTCTTCATGGAATGCATCTATATCTCCATGGAATGCGGACTTATAAAGTTATTTATAAGTCCGCTGTTCAAATTACTTCCAATTTAGCCGTAGGATTTTTATCGTATGTATGATTTATCTTGCTATTTTATACAATCACTGTATTTACTCTCATTTCTATGTGTGATTTTCACACATTCGTATGTGCGATTTTACCTTTCTGTTTTATTCAATTATTCACTTTCATTTCATATATGCGACGGTACATTGATCATTATTCATACATTCATGCCTGCAGAGGAAGACCCGCTGGACTGCTACTCCTTAACCTCCCAGTCTGGCCCCAAGTGGGTGGGCACTTCTTGCGCTGGGGCCAACTACTTCATCTGCAAGAAAGCTGAGACCATCACTTCTCTGACCCCTCCATCTTCTGGGTGTAAAAATGTGAGATATGCATTGTTATCTGGGCTGAGTGATGAATTGAATTGCAATGTTTTGCAATTCAATTGCAAAACATTGTTATCTGGGCCGAGTTGTCGGCAAAACATTGTTATCTGGGCCGAGTTGTTGGCAAAACATTGTTATCTGGGCCGAGTTGTTGGCAAAACATTGTTATCTGGGCCGAGTTGTTGGCAAAACATTGTCATCAGGGCCGAGTTGTTGGCAAAACATTGTTATCAGGGCCAAGTTGTTGGCAAAACAGCGTTATCTGGGCCGAGTTGTTGGCAAAACATTGTTATCAGGGCCAAGTTGTTGGCAAAACAGCGTTGGCAGGGCCGAGATGTTGGCAAAACATTGTTATCTGGGCCGAGTTGTTGGCGAAACAATGTTATCTCGGCTGAGTTGTTGGCAAAACATTGTTATCAGGGCTAAGTTGTTGGCAAAACGTTGTTATCTGGGCCGAGTTGTTGGCGAAACAATGTTATTTCGGCTGAGTTGTTGGCAAAACATTGTTATTAGAAGAAACGACAACCTACTAAGAAACTGTCCACTCCACACAACTTTTCATATGCTGATTCCGATAGAATGTTCCATTTACAAGTCATTTTCACTCGTGAATGTAATTTACTAATAGCTCACAAGAGGAAAATTATTATTTTTTAATGAGGATTTCTAAACCTTTATATACCTTAAATGCTTCTATGATTGACAGACTACTGGCAATTCAATTGCACTCGTGATGCTCGGAAGAACAGAAACAAAAATGTAGAAAAGTTCGCTCAAGTAAATCCGAGAGTTGGCGTTTAATCGTTAACGCTATTATATGTGTTTCTTTTACGGATCAATTGTTTGTTTCACTTAAATTGCACATTAAATATGCTATGCCATTTTGATTTTGAAATTGAATCGAACATGTGCAGGTTGACGATCATTACCAAGACCGCGGCACCTCCTGCTACACGGAAGTGGCCACAGCCAGGACCTACAAGGACGCCAAGGCAGACTGCGAAACATCCTACGGAGCTCATTTGGTGTCCATACACGACGCGTGAGAGACAGTTACTATTCACTTCTTTCGTGGGCCTTTAATAATATTTAATACCTAGTAGAGGAATTTTCGGGCTGACTGAAATTTCGGACTGACTGAAGTTCGGGCTGACATGAAATGAAATTCGAGATTACTATTTCGGGCTGAAATTCAGATCGGGCTCACTGAAATTTGATTGTATTGTACTGTAAATCCCATTCATGTGCTGTACATTAAGAAGTTGTTTATTCATGCGTGTTTGACGCTTGGTATCGGAAATGTAAGAGGGATATACGAGCGCCGATCATCAATAACTTTTGTGTCAGTACATTACCTGGACCTCACTTTTTAGTGGTAAAATCATGCGACATCGAAACAGAGGCTGAATTCAAAATACCTAAGATTAGTTCAATAGAAAATGAGTTAAAATGCTACTTTTTTATTCCAAAGAATATCTTCTTGGGAGTTAAATTCTTCAATAATTAACATATTAGATTTGATTGAAAAATTTATCCCCTTAAATAATCTCCAAAGGGTGGAGAACGCGTTTGTCTCTGCCATTTATGGACACCTTGGAGACAAAATCTGGATTGGGCTTCAGGAGAAAATAAATAGCGACGGCACCGTTAAATTCCAGTGGGATGATGGCACTGAATTTGCGTACGACAACTGGGGAGAGTATGAGCCTTGTGAGTAAACTTCCTGTCGGACGTACGATATGTTTTCAATTAAATCATTTTTTAATTTGTTTATTTTTTTCTGTATTGAGGACTCACTGCCACTTCGAATAATTTGATCTAGTAAAAATTCGTAAGTAATGGTATGATTAGTTTACGCATATAATTTATAAAATAAGAACTTTATGAGGAAATTTTGACCAGATTTATGATACACGAGTAGTGAATCTACACATCGTGCACGCGTAATTTATGCTCGAGTATGTATGCTGGATGAAAAATTCTCATCAAGTCTACGGATTCTTTAACCATACATATAACTAACATCTATAATAATTTTAGATGATAAGATCTAACAGATGTGAAAGTAATTTTTAAAATATTTTAAACATGCCATATCTCTCATCATTAGTCATCCATTCTCGAACGACTCATCTTTAGTGTTGTTGAATTGTGATCTTTATCTATTTAATGCACTTCTACAATTGTGGTTCACCACAAAGGATTGTAGAAATACAAATCGTAAAGGAAACATTTACCCATACTATGAAAAATGGTGAAAGCTGCAAGTAATAATGAAGAAAATGAGAATTAAATTCCCGCACTGAGAAATAAGCGTTACTATGTCCAAGAAATGATGCATTTCTTGCCATTGTATGGCTCTTACTGGGCAATTTTGGCCCAAAATAAAAAAAAGTGTGTGAAAATTTGGAAAATATGACCCATTCATTCATCTAAATGGAGTTACAACAAGACATTTGAGCTTTAACCCATTGAAGCAACAAAATAATCATTTTTTTGCTGATTTATTCATTGCAGTGATCAATTATGAACACGCGAGCCAATCGAACATCTGACACAGACAAGCAAAACTGACGTACAATCGAAAACTGTGTAAAAAAAATTTTAATGTAACTCACAGACGCGGATTATGGGGAATGTAGCTACGCATCGGGGAGTGGGGCGACCCTGGGGCTGTGGTACATCGACGACTGCGTGAGGTCACATCCATATGTCTGTGAGTGTACAGTGTGAAAACACGCAACATTATTCATTTCCAACTCGAATACAATTTAAGTTCGTGGCTGAATTTTAAAAACACAGGAACCTTACTAAACACTAACAGAAATCTGTGTATTTTGAAATCAAATGCTCAAATAAAAAAAGCACATTTAGCATCATAAATTTTGCAAAAATTTATTGAATATAAAATTTAGATCACCATGAAGTAAATAGATAAAGTAATATATCTTTTTGACCTAAGGTGAATACGAACGCACGGGCTTCACTACAGTTAAGCCTCCCGTGACGACTCCAGCACCAGCGTACTGCGCTCCTGGCTTTACAATCTATTTATCCACCCAGTCCTGCTACAAGGTCTGTTGAATTGTAGTCTGGTGTGCACGTTATTGCATTACTCCACAACCCAGTCCTGCTACAAGGTCTGTTGAATTGCGCCCCTGGCTTTACAATCTACTCATCCACCCAGTCCTGCTACAAGGTCTGTTGAATTGCGCCCCTGGCTTTACAATCTACTCATCCACCCAGTCCTGCTACAAGGTCTGTTGAATTGTAGTCTGGTGTGCACGTATTACTCCACAACCCAGTCCTGCTACAAGGTCTGGTGTAGTCTGATCTGCACGTCATTGTACTGCTCTTCCACCCAGTCCTGCTACAAGGTCTGGTGTAGTCTGATCTGCATGTCATTGTACTGCTCTTCCACCCAGTCCTGCTACAAGGTCTGTTGAATTGTAGTCTGGTGTGCACGTTATTGTATTACTCCACAAATTGTCCATTTTATTACCATGTTGATATGTGTTCTTTCTTTTCTAAGAGTAACCATTTTAGTAAATTTAACAACCAAAATTCCTTAGTTGGCGATGCTTAAAGTTTTTTCAATCTTTTCATGTCTTTATTGGTTGTTATGGCAATTTCGTCTTATTTTATGATCTCACGAATCATTCTACTCCCCATAACATTAAATTAGCAAACTGATTTGATTGAGACAAACAAGTTCCTGTGGAATTTAACTTTCTTTGACAGTACATGCTAAGGGCATTCTATTTTCATTTCTGCTAATTGCCTTTTTAATGTGCCTTATTAAAGAAGAAAATTCTGATCGTTCAAAGTCAAATGCTTGAAAAGTCATCGTTTTGCATAGATAGAATAATTATTCTAGAATATTGAATAAATATATAAAATTACGATATTTATGTGCTGATTGAATAATAAATTATGGAACTGGCTGTTCTACAAAGAAATTCAAAGTTACATTAACTTTTTTTGCAATCGCTGTACATAGTTAAACCGCTATTTTTCTCGTCCATAATTTGACTCAATTTTTATAAATTTCTTCGTTATAGCGACATTAATAAAATATTTTACAAAGGTGTTCGCCGGAGACCTGAAGCCTGAAGGCATTACATTATCTATCATTTCTGCAATATCTATTCATTGTTACTCCACTATTTTTCTCGTCGATAATATGACTCAATTCTCATCAATTTCTTTATTATTGCGACATTAATAAAATATTTTACAAAGGCGTTCGCCGGAGACCTGAAGCCTGAAGGCATTACATTATCTATCATTTCTGCAATATCTATTCATTGTTACTCCACTATTTTTCTCGTCGATAATTTGACTCAATTCTCGTCAATTTCTTCGTTATTGTGGCATTAATAAGATATTTTCCTACGGTATTCGCCGCAATAATATGACTCAATTCTCGTTAATTTCTTCATTATAGCGACATTAATAAAACATTTTCCTAAGGTATTCGCCGCAATAATATGACTCAATTCTCGTAAATTTCTTCATTATAGCGACATTAATAAAATATTTTACAAAGGTGTTTGCCGGGGACCTGAAGCCTGAAGGGTTGGCAGAGCAGAGCTGTCAGCAGTACGGGGCTCATCTCGTTAGCTTCCACAGCGAACAAGAGGAAACTTTCGTCAGGAAGTGAGTGAAGAACTTAAACTTAACACTTGCCTCGGTTTAGCATAGCATAGTGATGTCGGCGCTGAAGTGTAGGCCTGATGTGGCCTGTCGCCGATTCTTTTCCTTTTCGTGCCTTGTTCACAGATCTAAACTCGTGTCATTTGACCGGATCTTTTCATGACTGGCGATAGTTTGAAGTAGCTACTCGACTTCCACCGGGTTCGATAAGGAGCTAGGCATTTCAAATCTGAACATATATTTTTCCATAGCTTTATCTAGTCTGTTCTTGAACGCGTTCATACTTGGAGCGCCATGTGTTGGTTTCATGGTTTAATATGAATGTGAAATAATTTTTTAGAGAATCTTTTTTAAAAATGTGCATTGGTGTATATATTAATTTTATTTTAAAGAATACTGGAAGTTTGAGAAATAAATAATTACTTTCTATTGATTAAGAAATGAAATGAGGTATTTTTAAGATTTATTTGATTGAACTATATAGATTTGCAGCTATTTTTCTAAAATAAATTTTGCAAGTCATCGCATCGCGTAATACATCTCGTGAAACACTATACAGTGCTTACTCTTACATATCCGCCACTAAAAACTTCTTAAAAATAATTTCAATACACGTTCTATGAAATACCGGGCATTAACTTTTATTGCTAAACGTTGTTACCGCCAACCCTACAACACTTGGCCCAGAAATAATTCATCAGGACGTTTGAATAATTAAACATCCGTAGTGATTTTTAGATAATATCTAGACTTTTTCTACTGCCATTTTTAGAGCATTTTTTCATTTCTGGAACAAATGCACTATTGTGCTCGCCATGCCCGTCTGTCTGTCTGTCTGTCTGTCCGTCTGTCCGTCTGTGACCTCAAGTTTTCGTCGACAAGAAAATGCGCTCTCTGTCACCCACTGCACTGAGTACTGAGTTATATTTTTTATACGTTATCTCCCTTGTTTTGTGTACGCCGAAAATTTGTGGATGAAAATATTGAAAGGCAGACTACAAAGAGAATTAATGATGAAAGTTCCTATAGCAAAATAATGGAGGAAAAGACAGATGGTTCATAAAAATCATTTAATATATCTTATTCTTATGTGCAGACTCCCTGACTTCTCCGCCATGAACACTTCCTCCTTCTGGTCAGGTCTTCGAGTCACTTCTGAACAAGGTGAGTCATTTTGATTCACTTCTGAACAATGTGAGTCACTTCGAGTCATTTCTGAACACTTCTCAAGATTAGTCACTTCGAAACACTTCTGAATAATTTGAGTCAATAATTCCATAAGATGATGCAGTGCTTATAAAAACTTCAGGACGCCATGCAAAGAACACGTATAAGAAATGTTTGGATCGCGCATGAAACTTTTCGAAAATCAACTAAAGTTTACGGACTTTACCATGAACATAGCAGGAAGTTTGCGCGTTATGGAGGGACTTTAAATGTTTACTACCGACTAACGAATATATATAACCAACTTTTTTGATCTCGATACAAGTTATTGTATTTTGGTGTTTTGATATTGTTTCGACAAGAATATTGTGAAAAGCCGCAACGAGTTTAATGGCAGTAATTAATGTAATAATAATTTATTCCACGAAAATACGAGTTCTAGTATTCATTATGATGTATTGTTGAATCACGCTGTCTTCCATTTTTTATCGTTTTATCAAACGTATATGTGCAAAATTACACTGCAGTTAAGTAGATATTGTAAGTAAATAGTTTACTTTTTCGATAGCCATTGTGGTACTTTCATGTACAATTTTTTTAAGTTTTCTTTCTCAAGTACGCCATATTGCAACTGTATATCGATTACGCCATCGAAGGTGCAATTTATAGACTAATCACTAAGTAAGCTGTTTTAGTTGAAATTACTTGATAAAATTTATTTACTTTTGAAAGTTCATTAATAATTGTAAAGAAAATGTATTTTTTCAATTCATCGAATCGGTTCCGCTTAAAAAAAATTGCGTGAAACTTCTGCGTCACCACCCTTACTTCCTATTAACCACCAAATTCTTATGTCTCGTAAGCAATTTATTCAAATTTATATTTTTTTATTTAGGCTACCAGTGGCTGGATGGTTCGGCCACCGACTACCTGAACTGGGCCAACAACCAGCCAGACTCGCATCTTGAGAGGGAGGAGTGTGTCAACGTTAACATTGACAACTCCAAGTGGTCCGATACTTACTGTGATGGTTACCTACCCTACGTCTGCAAGGCGCCGCAGGGTGGGATGTTTACTTTGTCCGTGTGCCTTATCATGAATTACATTTCTTCTAATATTTAAGTTGAATAATACCCCATGTGATGGTTAAATATTTGAGCCATTTTTTGGTTGCATATTAATAACTACTTTAATTAGTTGAAATATTATAATACCTGGTTTTTTGTCGAGTTTGCGCTAGGGGTAAGAATCTTATAATGTTCTCTTTTATGCTAGTATTTTTATCACACAATGCAAACACTATAAAATTGCCAGACTTTTTTTAAGTTTTACTTTTCAATTCAATTTTTTTCCAGGCATGACGATAATGACGACCCCTGCCCCCATCACAAGTGCCCCCGATGTGCCCTGCCCCGACTTCCCCGACGACCCTGTATGGGTCGCGAACGGCGCGCACTGCTACGGTATTTACTCGAAGACTGAAGCGCAGACGCTGGCCTGGGTCGAGGCGCGCAAGGAGTGTCAGAGGAAGAAGGCGGAACTTGTCTCTATTTTGGACGTGCAGGAGAACAGCTTTGTGGTGTCCAAAGTGAGATAAGAGTGATTATGTTGTCATTTTGAGGTATATTATATTTTATGTTGTCATGTTGAGGTATATTATATATTTTTATGTTGTCATGTTGAGGTATATTCTACTTTTATGTTGTCATGTTTCTGGTGTAGAGGTGCAGGAGAATAGTTTCGGGGTGTCTAAAGTGAGATCTAAGTGATTATGTTGCCATGTTGAGGTATATTTTATCTTTATATTGTAATGTTTCTGGTATAGAGGTGCAGGAGAATAGCTTTGTGGTGTCTAAAGTGAGATCAGAGAGAATATGCAGTCATGTTCACGTATATTATCTTTTTAAATTGTTATATTTTTGTTCTTGAGGTGAAGTAAAAAAGTTTTGTCGTGACCAAACTAAAAATAAAAATCGTGCTACTATCAAGGACATTCCGGAAATGCTTCTCAGAACATTTAATAAATAATGAATGTTAAGGCTTACAATTTTTCAAGTAATCTCACACGTAACCCAAATGTTACAAAGAACAAATTTATGATTGTATTTGATTCTTTGTTTACTTAACTATGTTAAAAAATTTTATCTTTCAGTGTTCTTAATTCTTTATTTCAAATTTTTGTATACTTTAATTCTTTATTTTAATTTTTTTATACTTTAATTCTTTATTTTAATTTTTTGTATACTTCTATTTCCTGTGTTATAATATTTATAATTATTCATGGAAATAACGTCAGGTTTACAAACACTCGGACACGAGCATGTGGACCGGCGGGCACGCCGACTATGGAGGAGGCTTCTACTGGGCGGACGGCCAGCCTTTCGACTTCCAGAACTGGGCTGTGGGCGAACCTAACAATTATTATTGTGAGTAATTTTAAGATTATAGATTATATCGATCAGTATCAGTATCGGTTGGATTATATTGATCAGTAATAATCAACCTTCCCTGATTACATTAACTTGCCCTTTATTCTCAGTGATATGGGTAGAAATTAAGTTATTTTTATTTCCAACCAGAAATTGTCAACAGTCCAGTAATTATTTACTATTCTATTTTTGAAATTCTGTTATGTTTAGTTTTATATTAAGTTTTCAATATTACCAAAATGAATTCATTCAAGTGACGTAATTTTCACGCTCTGTATCAAAGTAATAATGTATCCCAAATATCAATTGGTTATTATGCCATTCCACTACTCCTTTTTACATCATTCAGAATATGTTTTTACGACCATAACTAATTACTTAAATATATTATATGTCAAATATATACTTAATATATGTACAAATATACTTAAATATATTATTAAGTACCTTACCTGACGATCAGCTCAGGAATCATGCGTATCGCTGTACCCCCACAACTTCGGGTACTGGAACGACGACAACTGCGGCAACGCGCACGGCTTCATTTGCAAGAAGCCTATCGGGGCCACGGCCCCCCCGTACACTACCGCCGCCCCTCCTGCGGGCCACTGCCACCAAGGCTGGGTCCATGTCGGTCAGTTGGATTGATTTAGCCTCTTAGGTATAAAATTTTTTCCATACTTTTATTAAAGTTAACTATAATTATGAGGTGGTTTAACAAAATAATTTTTTTATTTAAATATTTTCTATGCGGATTTCATGCAGGTGAATTAAGTGCCATTTATAATTTATCAATTTATAATGAAATTACAGATACAACTAGCAAATTTTCAAGTTTTTTAAATCCAGATAAATGTGAGAAACATAATAACATGAAATGCTGATTGATTATTTTTTTGTAAATAAATGTCATACGATCATGCCAGATGCAGGCACGATATCGCGATTCTTATATACAAACAAAACCAGTTTGATATTGACGAATAAATTATTGATACTTGTTTTGGTCATGATGATCAAACTCTGGTTATTGATGATCTCAGTTGTCGCTATCATCAGTTGTCACTATTATCAGTTGTCACTATCTTCAGTTGTCACCATCTTCAGTTGTCACTATCTTCAGTTGTCACTATCATCAGATGTCACTATCATCAGTTGTCACTATCATCAGTTGTCACTATCATCAGTTTTCACTATCATCAGTTGTCACTATCATCAGTTGTCACTATCATCAGTTGTCACTATCAACAGTTGTCACTATCAACAGTTGTCACTATCATCAGTTGTCACTATCATCAGTTGTCACTATCATCAGTTGTCACTATCATCAGTTGTCACTATCATCAGTTGTCACTATCGTCAGTTGTCACTATCATCAGTTATCACTATCATCAGTTGTCACTATCGTCAGTTGTCACTATCATCAGTTGTCACTATCGTCAGTTATCACTATCATCCAACAGCTGGCAAATGCATCAAGCTTGTGAACGAGACGGTCAAGTTTGATGACGCCCAGAAAGCCTGCCGGGAAAGCGGCGTGAACAGCAACCTTGTTAGCATCCACGGCTCCCAAATGCAAGGTTCGTGGCTTGAAAGTTTATACCTCTTTATTATAATGATTTAATTCATTAATTATTTATTATCAAAGTGAATGTGATAATTTTCTGGAATTTCCGACCATGAGTTTGTGCACTAGTTACTTATTAAAATGTAAACAAGTGAGTATATGGTAGTTTATGCGTGCAGTTTTTTCGCAAGTATTTGTATTGTTTGAACATGAAATAGACGTTATTATTAAATTCAGTTTCCAAATACCCTTCAACTACTTTAAAAATTTGCAGGACCTTCCTGGAAGTCAATAACAGCTAAATTCATGATTTTATAGATCACCATTCACTTATCATAAATAAATCCCACAACAATTTACCACCAACTATGCTCTAACACATCGGTACAAATTTTACATATTCTCATATTTTCGTAAAATTTGAACTATGTCTATACTGCTTCCATAAAAGGCGCCTACTATTCCTAATGCCGTTCCTATTTATATGACCCATATGATTCGCATTTAAAGGATAATTTTAACGTCGTTTAGTTACGTTCAGCTGTGGACCCATTGGATTCGCATTAAAAGGCAAATATGAACGTCGTTTTGTTACGTTCAGCTGTGGACCCATTGGATTCGCATTAAAAGGCAAATATGAACGTCGTTTTGTTACGTTCAGCTGTAAACCCATTCGATTCGCATTAAAAGGCAAATTTTAACGTCGTTTTGTTGGGTTCAGCTGTGGACCCATTGGATTCGCATTATAAAAGGCAAATTTAAAACGTCGTTTTGTTAGGTACAGCTTTGGACACATTGGATTCTCATTAAAAGGCAAATTTTAACGTCGTTTTGTTGGGTTCAGCTGTGGACCCATTGGATTCGCATTAAAAGGCAAATTTAAACGTCGTTTTGTTAGGTACAGCTTGGGACACATTGGATTCTCATTAAAAGGCAAATTTTAACGTAGTTTTGTTGGGTTCAGCTGTGGACCCATTGGATTCGCAGTAAAGGGCAAATTTAAACGTCGTTTTGTTACGTTCAGCTGTGGACCCATTGGATTCGCATTAACAGGCAAATTTAAACGTCGTTTTGTTGGGTTCAGTGGTGGACCCATTGGATTCGCATTAAAAGGCAAATTTAAACGTCGTTTTGTTGCGTTCAGCTGTGATCACGCTGCTCATGACGACTACTGATGAACCTGCCTGGATTGGTCTGCGGTCTCAGTCAAACTACAAGTGGACAGACGAGACGCCGGTGAACTACGCAAATTGGGGGCCTCTCGAACCCAGCGGTGGAATCGTGAGAATTCGACTATTTTTTTAATACTTTTATTGGAAATTGACTTTTATGATGGTGATTTACGCTAGTTCTATAATGAAAGTTAGCGAAACAATGAAAGTTCTGCAATGAATGTCTGCAATCAGCATTTTCCGTACCAAATTCGACCGTGGCCATTGCTACTTTCCTTTACTGTTAATGATGCTGATACTATCTTAAAATATCACAAATACAGCCATTTATAAATGGAGTTGATACCCGCTTTCTCTTCAACATGCTGGCACCAGCAGTTTAAAGACATCGTTGATGTAATTGTTTAAATACGGGCTGCAAGCTGTAAGTTGATAATTCTTGCATTCTGTAAATTGACGATATTTCTTTTTCATAAATTGCATATTTTTTAAGATGAAAAAAGCAATACCGATGACAGTATTACAATAAAAATATAATGATAGAAATTTTTTATTATTTAAAAATTTTTTAAACTGAATCGCTGTTTAACAATACACATACTTTAAAAGGAATTACAGTACTTTCGAACTAATTTCGATTCAAACAACGTTTGAATATCTGGAAGCTGTTGGAGCTATAATATTGATTGATTAATTGATTTGTTATGTTAATAAACAGTCTTTTTCCCCCTGGTACGAATTTGAGTGTTTTATACCAAGAGCGCGTCATTAACTCAGAGCTTCTGTCACCAGAGCGACCCCTGCGTGGAAACAATGCCTGATTCCGGCTTTTGGACAGCGATCGATTGTGCCCAGAACAGATCCTACATCTGCGCTCAGAACCCAGGTGAGTGAGCTCTTACATCTGCGCCATAACCCCGGTAGGTAGTTGTTATATCTGTGCCCAGAACCCCAAAATAGGTAGCTATTACATTTGCGCCCAGAACCCCGGTGGGTAGCTAATACATCTGCACCATGAACCCCGTTGGATAGCTATTACATCTGCACCCAGTATAGGTAGCTATTACATCTGTGCTCAGAACCCAGGTGGGTGAGCTGTTACATCTGCGCCCAGCCTGTAGGTAGTTGTTACATCTGCGCCTAGAACCCCAGTAGGGTAGTTATTACATCTGCGCTCAGAACCCTGTAGAGGTGCTATTACATCTGCGCCCAGAACCCTATAGAGTTGCTATTACATCTGCGCCCAGAACCCTGTTGGTAGCTATTGCATGTTCTCCCGTAATCTTTTTGCACGATCCTGCATCCGTGGCACAAATAAATATCGGGAAATTCGTTATCTGCGTCCAAAATTCTGTGGGGAAGGTTTTGTATCTGCGCCCAGAGCTGAAATAGAAACAATCGTCCATAACAAAGAAGAGACAGCAAATTTAGTTCTGAATAAATAGATCTAGAGGAATAAACCAGCATAAGTAAATTTTATATTTTCAAATAATTGACAAGCAATTGTTGCATCTTAAATACAATTCTTTCTCAAAATCAAAATTAGTACAATCCGGAGACTACTACTCACATTTTCATACGTTTAATTCGATATGAAAAATTAATATCTCCTTCTAGAATTCATATAATCATATTCCACTTCAATGACTTTTCTGTTTCATCCTTACCTAAGATCCTGAACTGAGCACGGACTCCCCTCCCCCGAAATGCGCGAGTCCGTATGAGAACTTCATCAGTTTCGAGGACTCTTGCTACAAGTTGGTGCTTGATCCCAAGACCTGGCAAGAGGCCGAGGACTACTGTATATCTCAGGGCGCCCACCTTACATCAGTTGAACGCATCACGGAAAACTCGCTTATTTTTGCGATGGCCGCTGGGTACGGCGAAGAGAACTTGTGGATGGGACTCAACTCAAATAAGGTTTGTTTGGGGGAATTTTTGTCGGTCTGCTTAAATCGTGATTTTACCAAGTAATTAAAAGCAAAGAAAATGCTAAGCAAACTCATTATTACTTCATTGAAACCGTGTGCCTCACGCTTCAATGGTAATTTAGTGATTTTCTGTGCTTTTCCGTGCTTTAAACCTCATTTTCCGTGCTTAAATTCTTTGATGTGGAAGTTTTGGAGGCCAATAACGTTGTTCTTGCTACTGCTATCTAACTCCACTTTTTAATAATTTATGATAAAATATACCCTTAAATTGAATTTATTGGATTTGTGCTTTGGATTACTTATTGAGTTTTGCTGGCGATTGTAAGGAGGTAGTATACATTTCATCTTACCTAATTGTCTAGAAAAATCAGAAATTAGATAAATAGAATTCACAATGAAGAACTCGAACAAAGCATCAAAAAATATACATAATAGATCTTCTTATTCCGTATATCAACAACACCAACGTCAATAAAGTTAAATTTTGAACGCAAAGTAACAAAAATTATAATGGATCACAAACTCTGGTGCACGGCAGAAGGCGGACCAGTACCTGTGGGTGGACGGGTTCCCGGTTCTCTACACGAACTGGGGGCCACGTGAACCTAACGTGAGCAACACGGACAACCGCTGCGTCATGATCAGCTCCACGGCAGACGGAACCTGGTACAGCCGCCCCTGTGACCAGCTACAGCCCTTCGTGTGCAAGCATAGTGAAGGTGAGGAGCGTGAAGTGAAGGTGAAGAGCGTGAGGTGAAGGTGAGGAGCGTGAGGTGAAGGTGAAGAGCGTGAGGTGAAGGTGAGGAGCGTTTACAGCCGCCCCTGTGACCAGCTACAACCCTTCGTGTGCAAGCATAATGAAGGTGAGGAGCATGAAGTGAAGGTGAGGAGCGTGAGGTGAAGGTGAGGAGCGTAAGGTGAAGGTGAGGAGCGTGAGGTGAAGGTGAGGAGCGTGAAGTGAAGGTGAGGAGCGTGAGGTGAAGGTGAAGAGCGTGAGGTGAAGGTGAGGAGCGTTTACAGCCGCCCGTGTGACCAGCTACAGCCCTTCGCGTGCAAGCATAGTGAAGGTGAGGAGCGTGAAGTGAAGGTGAAGAGCGTGAGGTGAAGGTGATTAGCGTGGGGTGAAGGTGAGGAGCGTGAGGTGAAGGTGAGGAGCGTGAGGTGAAGGTGAGGAGCGTGAGGTGAAGGTGAAGAGCGTGAGGTGAAGGTGAAGAGCGTGAGGTGATAGAGAAGCGCACTATCAATTCCTGACTGCAGGGGCCTAATTCCAACCACCGTGTTTGTTTCAGGCTTAGTTCAAATCCCCGTGTTTTACTCAGGATTTATTCCAACCAAATGTTTTTTTCAGGCTTCATCCCAACCCCCGACCCTCCAAGTGACGGCAATTGTCCAAACCCCCATTGGTTAGACTTTGGAGGGGGTTATTGCTACCTCGTCGTCACCGATGTCACCAAGACCTGGAATGAAGCTAATTTAGGGTGAGAAGTAACCTCGAGTAAGAAATATCTTAGGGTAAGAAGTAACCTAGGGCAAGAAGCTGCTTAGGGTAAGAATTTTATTAGGGTAAGAATTTTATTAGGGTAAGAATTTTATTAGGGTAAGATGTAACCTAGTGTACCTAGGAAGTAACCTAGGATTAGAAGTAACCGAAGGGCTAGGAAGTAACCGATGGTATGAAGTAACCTAGGGTAGGAAGTAACCTAGGAAGGAAGGAACCTATGGCAGGAAGTAACCTAGGGTAAGAAGTAACCTAGGGTAGGAAGTAACCTAGGGTAAGAAGTAACCTAGGGTAGGAAGTAACCTAGGGTAGGAAGTAACCGAGGGTAGGAAGTAACCTAGGGTAAGAAGTAACCTAGGGTAAGAAGTAACCTAGGGTAGGAAGTAACTTAGGAAGGAAGTAACCTAGGGTAGGAAGTAACCTTATGTGGAAAGTAGCCTAGGGTAGAAAGTAACCTAGGGTAGGAAATAACCTAGTGTAAGAGATTCAGGCTTGGCTGTCGTATTCCAAATAATCGTTGCTGATCATAGTGAAATTATCAATTCTGGCGTGATCCGAATTTCTTACAACCTAATTTGTTATTCCACTTGTTCTCCAAATTGACGGTAATGTTATATTTTTGAAAACATTTCCTTGACTACTTTGAGTTTATAATGACGAGACTATGATGACAGGTGCATAGAGGAAGGTGGCAACTTGGTGTCGATCCACTCGCAGACAGAGTCAGACCTCATAAGCAAGGCGACGGCGACCTACCAACACAACCTCTGGTGCGGCCTCATACAGCGTGACACCAGTGAGCATATTGTAGTATATAGAGATGTACTGTACTCCATCTGTACTGTACTCCATGTGTACTGCACTCCATCTGTACTGCACTCCATCTGTACTGTACTGTATTGTACTCCATATGTACTGTACTGTATTGTACTCCATCTGTATTGTGCTCCATCTGTACTGTACTCCATCTATATTCTATACCGTACTATATTGTACTTAATATGTGCAGTACTCCATCTGTACTGTACTATAGTGCATTGTACTATATTTTAATTAATACGTACTGTACTCCATTGCACTCCTGGACACCAGTGGCCACTGAACGCCGGACGGTCCACCAGGAGAATTGCAAACAAATATTCACGATCAAATTTTGGTTGAATTAAACACATGTTGCATTTGATTGAATACATATATAATTGATCACCGAATCACGATAACATGTTCCTAGTGTTCCATTCATTCGTCACACAGCTGCCCAAACAAGAATATTCAGATGAATAACGTTATGTTTTTGATAATTGTCTTAAAGAGAGGTCAGTGTTTAAATTAAGCTCTTAATCTGTAGGTAAGTTACTTATTTGCTCTACTAATATGAGTAACCGCTTATCAAAAAATGGCCAAAAGAAAGTTTTATTGTGCCATTAATGTGCAACAATAATCACTTTAAATCTAAATCCTCATTAAATTACCAAAGGTTTATGAAAATTGACAGGCTACGAGTGGAGCGAGGGTATCACCAAAAACTGGCCAACAAGAAGTTTTATTGTGCCATTAATGAGCAACAATAATCACTTTAAACCTAAATCCTCATTGAATAGAATAGAATAGAATAGAAGTGCTGCGTTGAAGAAATAGGCCCATTTGGCCTGTTGCCGATTCTTGAACTTTTCGTGACTTGATTCACAAGGGATCCGGCCTTTGGAACCCGATCTTTCCATAACTGACGATTGATTGAGATAGCTGCTGGACTTATTGCATTGTCCGTAATTTGCTAGGCATTTTAAGACTGAACATATGCTCCTGCATAGCTTCGTCTGGACTTATTGCCTGGTCCGTAATTTGCTAGGCATTTTAAGACTGAACATATGCTCCTGCATAGCTTCGTCTAGTCTGTTTTTGAAGGCGTTCATACTCGGAGCGTCAACGATGCTATCAGGGAGGCTGTTCCGCATGTCGGTGACTCTTAGCGAGAAGAAATGTTGTCGGTACTAAATACAAGAAAGTTGAAATGTTGTCGGTACATTACAAAGGTATATGAATGTTGACAGGCTATGCGTGGAGTGATGGTAGTGCACTAGACTACCTACACTGGGACGAGGGTGAGCCCAACAGTCAGGACGAGATCTGCGTCGAGATGTACTACTACAACGAACGCGTGTGGAACGATAAAGACTGTAACAACCAGCGCGGATACGTCTGCAAGGCACCCAAAAGTGAGTACTTATTTACAAAAGTACCTCAAATACTTATTTACTTGTACCAATAAGTAAATACATATATTCATCATTCTCAGAATTTTTTGTCACATTTTTTTCATTTCTCGCTCTTTTTTTGAGTCTAATAATTTTTTGGGGGGGAATTTCTTGAAATTTAACTAGTTTACCTCTTATCCTAAATTAATATTCGTATGTTCATTTAGTACTTAAAGTTATAGTGTAACAGGGTTTAGAAGAATGGAATTTTTAGTATCGAAATCATGCCTTAGATTAAAAATAATAAAAGTTGATATCGTGCTGCAATTAGTACCCACTGAAATCTCTTATTAATGCGTTTTCCTTTCATAATTTTCATTATTCAACACCGAGTATCATCACCTAACTCGATGAACCAATTCAATTCCTAGCTGCTCAGTTGCTGCATCATTTCTTCATAAATTGGTTTAGCTGTTTTCTAATGTTTTTCAGTATAAACTAGAATGATTCAACACCGAATATCATCAAACTCGAGACTATCATTCGCTTTATTACTGTGCAGTGACTGCAACACTGCATGAATTTTATATATGTTAGTTAATACATTTAGAATTTGGAGGATTGAATTGAACTGTGACATATGATATAGGATTCGAATTGAACTGAACCTTGACCTAAAACTAACATAATTTCGTAGTAAGTCGAAGATAAAGTATTTATTAAAATTCGATGGTTTGCTTGCAGTTGGTGGCGAAGGGCTACCGCCGTCCTCCGTGCAGCCAGGCGTGACCACCAAAAAGCCTGGTAGATAATTCAGGTTACCTTATCATGATTAATTGGTAATTATCATGTCAGGCGTGACCACCAAGAAGCTTGGTAGGTAATTCAGGTTACCTTATCATGATTAAATTGGTAATTATCATGTCTGTCGTGACCACCAAAAAGCCTTGTAGGTAATTCAGGTTACTTTATCATGATTAACTGGTAATTATCATGTCTGTCGTGACCAGTAGAAGCGTGGTAGGTAATTCAGGTTACCCTGTCATGCTTAACTGGTAGGTAATTATCGTGTCCGTCGTGACCACCAAGAACTTTGGTAGGTAATTCAGGTTACCTTATCATATTAACTGGTAATTATCATGTCAGTTGTAACCACCAAGAACTTTGGTAGGTAATTCAGGTTACCCTATCATGTTAAACTGGTAATTATCATGTCAGTCGTGTCTGCCGTAACCTCCAAGAAAACTGCTATGGTATTCTATTTGCTTTTTAATGTTAACCCGGTAATTTTCATGTCTGACGAGACGAAGAAGCTTGAAAGGTTCACCATTTTACGATGTTGAACGAGTATTAACTTACCAACCTCAGTTACGGTATTTCAAAAGTTATTCACGTTCGTGAAATTTATAAGGAATTTCATTTGTTCTTATTGAGATAATTGATGATTATAAATTTATTTACATTTCTGAACCTGGTTTGTAATTTAGCTACAAACAAAATTTTACTTTATTTAATAGCATATTTAATTGTTGATGCAGGATTAAGCTAAGAGTTGTTGAGATCAGTCAGCAAACGAATTGATTAAAGCAATTGTGGCTTTAAGAAATTAAATGAAAATACTTAAATAATTCAATATAAATATTATGATTAATTACTTAGCAATAATTAATTTTCGAAAATTCGTCATTTTGCTTACCAAATATAGTTTATTTACTTATTTAATATAAAATATATTAATCCTAACAACAATTCCCTTAAGTAAATCATTCATAAACAAGTTTCGTCTTGAAAATAATAATTTATAATAATAATATAATAATAATACTATTTGTGTACACAATTATCATATAATAATACTATTTGGTAACACAATATTAATTTTAATAATAATACTATTTGTGTACACAATAATAATTTTAATAATAATAATATTTGTGTACACAATAATAATTTTAATTACAATACTATTTGTGTACACAATAATAATTTTAATAATAATAATATTTGTGTACACAATAATAATTTTAATAACAATACTATTTATGTACACAATAATAATTTTAATAATAATATTTATGTACACAATAATATTTTTAATAATAATTCTATTTGGTAACACAATAAGAATTTTAATAATAATACTATTTGGTAATATAACAATAATTTTAATAATAATACTATTTGGTAACACGATAATAATTTTAATAATAATACTATTTGGTAACACAATAATCATATAATAATGCTATTTGGTAACACAATAGTAATTTCAATAATAATACTATTTGGTAACACAATAATTTTTTAATAACAATACTATTTGGTAACACAATAATTTTAATAACAATACTATTTGGTAACATAATAATTTTAATAATAATACTATTTGATAACATAATAATTTTAATAATAATACTATTTGGTAACACAATAATTATTTTAATAATAATACTATTTGGTAACATAAAAATTTTAATAATAATACTATTTGGTAACATAATAATTTTAATAATAATACTATTTGATAACATAATAATTTTAATAATAATACTATTTGGTAACACAATAATTATTTTAATAATAATACTATTTGGTAACATAAAAATTTTAATAATAATACTATTTGGTAACACAATAATAATTTTAATAACAATATTATTTGGTAACACAATAATCAGTGAACAAGAACGGGTTGTCTGGGGGCGCCGTGACGGGCATCGTGATAGGCAGCCTCCTGCTGGTGGCGGTGGTGGGCGTCGTGGGCTACTCCTACAGGAACAGACTACCTGCTCCCTCTGCCCTCCCCTCCTTCCTTACACGTGAGTGTTCGTGTGGTGTTAGTGACGCGTTCGTGTGGTGTTAGTGACGCGTTCGTGTGGTGTTAGTGGAACATTCGTGTGGCGTTAGTAGTGTTATATTCGTGTAGTGTTAATGTCTTGCGTGCGTCACGTTCGTGTGGTGTCAGTGGAAAATTCGTGTGGTGTTAGTGACGCATTCGTGTGGTGTTAGTGATGCATTCGTGTGGTGTTAGTGACGCGTTCGTGTGGTGTTAGTGACGCGTTCGTGTGGTGCTAGTGATGCATTCGTGTGGTGTTAGTGACGCGTTCGTGTGGTGCTAGTGACTGCCCTCCCCTCCTTCCTTACACGTGAGTATGTTCGTGTGGTGTTAGTGACGCGTTCGTGTGGTGTTAGTGACGCATTCGTGTGGTGTTAGTGACGCATTCGTGTGGTGTTAGTGACGCATTCGTGCGGTGTTAGTATTATATTCGTGTGGTGTTAATGTCCTGTTTGCGTCACGTTCGTGTGGTGTTAATGAAACATTCGTGTGGTGTTAGTTCAATTAAGAGAAGCGCTTATTGTTTACGATGATTGTTTTTAATTATTTGTCTTGCTTTTTGCTTTGCAAATTAGTTCGTTAATATTTAATTACATTGTTCCTAAATTTCAGAGCGGATACATTGACTATGGACCTGTTTTCACTAACTGATTTGATGCAATATTGAAGCAATAAATATTTGTAACATGGTATGATGTATCAACAACACTCGAAATTACAGTAAAGTAAACTGAGGTATAGTTAATCTGATAAATATTCGAATATCCTTTATTACGTTCCACTAAGATGAGTATAATAAATCCTTGTGTCATGCTAAAACTCACGTGAATGCACCTGACCATGAGCGAATGAAGGCAACTTTACCATATTTTCACCTCCAACTTAACCCTTACCTTCTTACCCCCATAACACTGATGTCATTGTCCATAGGTTGTGATTGTCCAGGTTGTATTTGTTGTGTTGTACAGGTTGTGTTATGGCTGTAGTTGGGTTGTACAGGTTGTACTTGTGTTGTACAGGCTGTAGTTGGGTTGTACAGGTTGCACTTGTATTGTACAGGTTGTAGTTGTGTTGTACAGGTTGTAGTTGTGTTGTACAGGTTGTAATTGTGTTGTACAGGTTGTACTTGTGTTGTACAGGTTGTAGTTGTGTTGTACAGGTTGTACTTGTGTTGTACAGGTTGTACTTGTGTTGTACAGGTTGTACTTGTTTTGTACAGGTTCCAGTGCTAGAGGCGCAGCTGGCGCGTCTTCATCGGACGACTTCGTGACGCTGGCTGATGGTGAAGAGCAACAGAGCAAGGCGTGAGGTTCGAACCCTCGACCCAGTGTTATGTTCTGCACTAAGAAAAATGGAGAGAATTGGTCCAAATGGCGACGTACTTTTTCCCCTTGTCTGGGTCTTCCATACCCAGTTTTTCCCTGCAGTATCAGTGCTACGTAAAGAAAGTGTCAACATTTTTTACAACATAACATTCATTTTTCTAAGTGTGGTGTGTAAGACTCGGGCTTAACGGCGAGCTTGAACCTCTACGTTGAACCCCAAAAATTAGGAAAAAATGTGGTTTTAGGTTATTTATGTGTAAAGTGATGTAATCATTTTGTGAATGTAATCTTGTTCAACCTATAGAAAGATTAGGTATAGTAATCAAGTACATTAAAAGTAAATTTTGTCTGAAGCTATAAAGCTGATTTTTGTAGAATCGTTACTCAAAATCCGCTGTTACTTGATATTCTACGTATTTTATCTAATTTTTGAGACTTCTTCCCGTTTTTCTGTTTTACTCGATTAAAATTTAAAAAAAAATCGGTAGACGGTAGTAACAGCAGTAGATGAGTAACAGCAGTCCATGAATGAGTAACAGCAGCCCATGAATGAGTAACAGCAGTCCATGAATGAGTAACAGCAGTCCATGAATGAACAGCCCATGAATGAGTAACAGCAGCCCATGAATGAGTAACAGTCCATGAATGAGTAACAGCAGTCCATGAATGAGTAACAGCAGCCCATGAATGAAGTTTCCCGCAGTGCGACTGTACCAATTTATCTTATTTGGAAATTAGAAACACGAAAAATAATGCAACAAAACCTGTGGATAACCGATTGAAAAATGATTTTTTTATGAAAGTTACGTCCAGGTCAGTTTTCCGTGTCCATGAATTATTAATTTACACTTGCGCAGACTTAATATTGATTAAGGCTTGATTATTTCAATAGAAGATGCGTAAATTTAATATAGATAAGTTTACGTTAATAACTTTTACTTATGATCAAAGTTAAAAACAAAGCTAACGTTTTCAATATTTATTTTAGAAGTAATAAATACATCCGTAGATATAACTACATTATAATAATATTCGTTTGGTGCCCATGTAATCTTAACATTGACTATAATACGTTAAAATGTTATGTATGCGTTGTAAAATAAATAATACATTTATGTTATGTATGCGATGCATATGAACCGGCCATAAAAATGATATAGCAGTAGGTTTCGCATTCATGTTTGTGCAGCAGTTGAAATAATTTGTTTACCAAGTAAAATTGTTTGCTCAAAAGTCCAGTAAAATATGACTTACAACTCAGTATTTTCAATGAGAAATTCATTGTTGCATTTTTGCGTCTAAAAATCATGTATAGTATCACATAGCTGGAATTTGAATTATCTCTAAAAAAAGTAAACTTCGACATCAAATTTATATTATTTTTGCCCAAGCCCAATTAAAATGTTCATCAACTTTTAGAAGTTGGTGCTGGAAAGAACAGGTAATGAAAAACTCAGCCTATAAGTGAATAGCTGTATTTCAAATCACAACTTATATGCTAGTAGACTATGTTGCAAACCCAATATATCCAGGAGCAGCAAGTGAGGCACATCCTAGCTTATAGTAATAGATAATCCCTAGGTAGGATGTACTAGGATACTATAGGATAACTAGGATAACTAAATAACTTAGAGCATCTGCTAACTGTTGTTCTGCTAACTGTGCGAGAAGATCTTTGCTGCATCAAATGATATAAAGTTAATGTTTCTTCATCAAGTCGAAAACATAATAAATCATTATAGATTTTATTGTACCTGGAAAAGTAGAGTTACTATTCGAAGGCAGCTTGCGTTCGCTGAAAAGCAAATAGAAATTAACAGATATTAATGTAATTTAAAATAATAAAATTAATATCAAGTCCCAGGGAAAAACATTGACCTACAGAAGAAAATCTCTATAGCAACATTTCTTTGAATCAAACCAAGTGTAATTTAAAATAAAAAATATTTAACAAATACGCTCACTGAACAGAAATAACAGCTCTCTCTTAACTACGTTTCTCAAGTCTACGACGTAAATAAGCTTGATTGTGATCTCGATATAATTTCACCTTCTTTTTATAATAATGTCGTATAAAATTCTAAATTTCTTAATATTTTTATTACATTAATTCAAAATCATGAACGAAACCGTTACATAAGCACCAAGTTATTACCTTTTAGGTGCCGTAATAAAACTAAAAACAAACATTATTTCATCCTAAAAAACAACACAAACTTCAGTAGTTTGGTAAGAATAGCAATATTAAAAAATTAAATCAATAGCTAAATTAATAATTTTCTACATTCTCCAGGAAAACGCCTGTGTTGCGGTCATAATAATAATTAATAAAAGAAATACAAAATGTAACTAACTGGACTAAAGCAGTAGGTACCTATAGAGATGGCTATTAATAAATTTATTTAATAAATGAAGAGAAATTAACCCATTCGAAAAAGAGTTACACAAAAGCACGCACTCGTGAAATCGAACCTACTTTTAAATCTTTACTAATCTTTAAAAAATATTAAACATAACTAATGCTCAAAATTAAAGACTAGCCACTTCGTTCCGAAAATTTGTCTCGTAATTGGCCAGGAGAAATATTGTGCTTTAAGTAGGTATCTTATAAGTTATTGAAATTAGATACGATAGATAAGGTTTACTTATAAACGCTATCGTAATTCGTATCTTTGTAATGTAAAATTAGAACACAATACAATGCTTGAATATTTACAAGCTGACAAAAATCGTTCACATTGATGAATTTCCGCAACCAAGTCATTCTAGAATTGATTAGGATTAAACTATACGCGCAAAGTAAATAAATTAAATACGTATTTTACCTAATGCTATTTTCTTAAGGATATTTCGAAATTTACTTACCAGCTGTTGAAATTTCTGAAAATATATGACCTTATCGAGTGTTATCTAATATATCACTAGTACATCCCACACATTAATGAACTCTAACATCGTCATTTTATTTCATCCGTTTGGGTAAATGTTGAACTTTACACCGGACATAGAGAAAGTTTCGATTTATTGAATGCTTCACTTAAGTACTTAATTTAATTGTGTCTGAAAATGACTAACATCAATTTTGTTGCATTATGTTCATCAACTCAAGCTTATAATCAAACTAACCAATTATATGCTTGCAACTTTAATATGTTATCATCTAATAAATAATCATAACGATAAAGCTTTAAAGTAAACGATAAGACACTTGCTGCATGCGTCGAATGCAGCCAAAACATTCACATCATTTTAAAACAAAATTTTTTTCATTGAAGTGATGTTACACATCATCATTTCCAAACATAATATTTTCTTCGAAGTACTATTACACATCATCATTTTAAAAAAATTATGTTTTTACTGAAGTACTATTACTGATTACACATCATCATTTTATAAACATTATGTTTTTACTGAAGCACTATTACACATCATCATTTTAAAACATAATATTTTCACTGAAGTACTATTACACATCATCGTTTTAAAATATAATATTTTCACTGAAGTGATATTACCTATCATCATTTTAGAAACATATTTTCACTGAAGTACTATTACAAAACATCGTTTTAAAACATAATATTTTCACCAAAGATTGTACCGCAGCTGCCTGTGTAAACATACACACGAAACAATCCATTCACTTCTACTACAGGTTAGCGAAGTCGCAACTATCATTTAAACTTTTTTTAAATTCTAGATTAATAATAGGTCTTAAATTAGTGTTATAGAGCCAGGCACTTAAAACCTCGACTTATCTTCCCGGGTATTGTCAGGAGTTTGTGCAGGATTCGGAGGAAGAGGTCCACAAGTGAAGGATATGGAAGGAGGGAAGCTGTAGCTAGGAAATAATAGGGGTTGAAATTGTTATAGATGTAAAAAAAGTTGTAAAAGGAGAAAGATTAAGGAGGGAGGATGTTCGTAGGAGGGTGGAAGGTTGTAGCGAGGAAATAATAGGGGTTGAAATTGCTTGGATTGTTATAGATGAAAAATAGTTGTAAAAGGAGAAATGTTAAGGAGGGAAGAAATTCGTAGGAGGATGGAAGGTTGAGGTGTGATGAAGGTCCAGTAGGTAGAAAAGTTAGCAATGATTTTTGAGGAACATAAGGATGTGTTTTGGGACGCGAGTCTACGAGATAGCAACTTAAATATCATATTACACTATACTATATTATGTATAATACTACACTAAGATTTATTATAGTATCTTATAGTATTTATAGTATGTGAAGCATCGACCGCTTCGTAGCAACATATCAGAATAACGCATCTTAATTTATTACAAAGAAAATATTACAGATAATTTTAAAATGAATATCATCACAAGATCACTCGAACAATTTTAAGAAAACGCGGCAAATAAATATGGTCACGAGATCATTCCAAATATACAATACAAGGTCCAAATAAAAACTACACAATAGAAAACATTACAAAAACTATACCTTCTAAACTAAATATTAATAATGGAAAATTCTGTTGGAATAAGAGACGCTATTCAATTTTATAGAGCACTAATCTATTTGATTATTGGATTTTTGGAACTGACCTCGTCAGTTTGCAGATACAGAACAAAGACAATAAGTTTCAGAGGTACACTTAGACGCGTAAGTCATAATAAAAAATATCACTGTACTTTCTAGGGGCCATACTTTCAAAACTCGCAAAGTGAACGTAAGTACTTACGCTCTATTTTCTTGTCTATGATTGGAGGATTTTGCTTGAAAGGCCGTCAATGATTGGCTGATGAACTTACGATGTCTTAACTTTTTTTTAAATTATGGGCCTAGGTTATTACGATCCGGTTTCTCCTGGCAAAACGCGTATTGTGTACACCTTCGCTCCGTGGGTGAGAAAGTATGTCACTGTTTGGAAAATATGACTCATAAATATTGTCTAGACATTACGCTAAATTTCGACAAAATTTCTGCTTTTCATAACTAATTTTAAATAAAAAAACATCGTAAAGTTGGAGGTGCCGATGCGTATTTCGAACGCCATACGAGTACAGCGAGATATCGTAAACAACTAGCCGAAATGTTAACAACTCGTTAGTTTATCAACTTATTAGTTAACCATTAACTTTGTTGCTAACAAGATAGTCAACAAGTGACGTAGTGACATGATTATTAAATACTCGGATGATGGTTCAATTTTCGCGCAAAATTTGTTGAAAAGTTCAAACTTGAAGTTCGGTTGTTACGGTCACGTGTGAGTAACAAACTTGGCCAGACCTTGTTGAGGCTAAGAGAAAAACATGGATCGATTTCAACAATTCTGAATTCAAACTTAAGTCAAAAAGAAGCTCATATCAGGGATTTCATTTATACACTTCAGATAAGTATATCATTATGAATAAGAGGACGAATTTGCCGGCACTAGGAGCAGGGTTGGCAATGATTAAATCAGACTGATTAAATCATGTAATTAAATCAGACTGATTAAATCATGTGATTAAATCAGACTGATTAAATCATGTAATTAAATCAGACTGATTAAATCATTTGATTGCAAAAAAATTTAAAAAATCACTAACCCTGACTGGGAGTGACTGTTTAAATGCTAGTTAATCGTAGACGATAAAACAACATTAAATCGTAGACGATAAAACAACATTAAATCGTAGACGATAAAACATAGCAGATTGTTTGAACACAAGTGCTGTAAATGCGCAGTTTGATTTAGTATAAATAAAGACTAATCAGATAGCTACTTAACCCACTTGAGTGAGAGAATGATCTTTCAAGATAACATTTTATTATACGAGATAAGTGTAATACATGAGACGAACGCAAACAAGTTCGTGGCAGGTTAATATTAATAATTCTTATGTAAAACATATGATCTTACATCCACACATATATATACAATACATGCTACAATACCCAAGCACTAAATTTAATTAATGATGGTTATCTCTTACAGGATCATTAATTTGATCTGTACACACCAATCATGGAGGTTAACTACTCGTTAACGTGGGTTTAATTTAACCTGTACAAAGCTTGATTGCCATAGATAACCCTAATATGACACTAATTTATATCACTGTTTTATCTAACATCTATTACTTAAACTATTATCAATGCAGATCATCGTGTAGGCCATATCTACTAACCTAAAATACATATACGGAGAGAAGCTAAATTCCACTGTTCTAATATCTACAAAGGAAATTCGAAATTTAATAATATTTATTAGAAAATACATATTTCAAAAAACCTCTAATCCAAGATAAATATCACTTTTCAAGAACCCCTATTCAAGTTCACCAAAGTTATTGAGAACCCCTACCTCAAGTTCACTACAAGACTTCAAGAACCTCTCTTTATTAATTTTAATACGATATTTTTTTTTAATATTTGCGATATCGTATTTTTTAAAGAAAAACTTTAAAAATTTTATCAGTTTATATGATCCCCTCGTAAACCTAAAGCAAGTTACCCTAAAAATTTGTTAGTTTTGAAGCCAAATCTTCACGCCACCAGAATGCCCTATTTAAGCCATAGAATATTAATAGGCTTCAGATGATATTTTTAAAGACAATAAATTTGAAGTCAAGGTTAAAAAGTTCTTGACTTGTGCGAAAGCTGTGCGAAAAAATTATTATTTGCCCATGTAATAGTTTGTGTAGACTATTCGTCTTGTGTGCAGGCACTTAATTAAAGCTAGTTAAATACAACTTCCATACATAATGAACACTATCCAGTATTCGAACTAATAATAAATAATCATCCTGTACTTCAATAATAAAAATGAATATTTTATGATGTAAATATGTCACGATAAGGAATATATTTAAAACAGAGGATTTCACATTTAGTAATTTGTTGCGACTCTAAGTGAGTTTCCTTCAAAAAAATAAAGAACTTTGTATAAAAAAAATGAAAATTCATATGAAGATTATAGTTAGAAGACATAAATAATTGAGTGTTCAAAAATATATTTAGAAAAATGCATTACCAGGCTAAAATACAAAGATCAATAAAGTGGATTGTAATAGAAACATGATTTGCATGAATAAATGACATATACAGACAGAGCAATACACCAATGTCTCCATATGTTGGGTACCCACTCTTGTACACTGTCAGAAAAATTACCGTTAACGGTATTACCGGCGTTTCAGTGGCCGGTCGGCACGTGAAAAGAAACACCGTGTCGCCGTTTTTATTCTAATTTAACACTAGAAATCCGTAAAACATCTGATAAAAACGGCGAATCAGTTTATTTTCTTGGGGCGACCGGCCACTAGAACGCCAGTGGGACCGTTTTTTCACCGTTTTTTTCTAACAGTGTATGGGACGGAGAAATCGTTTCATCAAAATTCAGTGCCGCCCCAGCTTCTGATTGCCAGAAGCTACCGTGCCTCTGAATTTTGTCTTGGGTGCGGTTGTGCGGTAGCGTATAGCGGTTATGTGGGGGCGGGGGGAATCGTGAAAAATTATTGAAAAATAAATTTTATTTTTATTGTCAGTGGGGGTGAAAGGGGCCGGCGAGGCATGGCAACCCTCCAGCACTGTTTAAGCAGCACTGTTCTCCACTAAGTTTCATTTCCATTCAAAATGAATAATAATGATAAGACGAATAAACAAATAATAGAAGATAAACATTTTCGAAAGACGGCAACATCAATTTATCTCCAGATGTTCCGTCTTGCACAAACTGTAAATCTTTTCTAGTGACTTCCACTCAGCTTCTTATTGACATATAGGGCATATGCATCACATTATTCATTTTGTGACTGATGACATATAGTGCATATGTATCACATTATTCATTTTGTGACTGACATTTCATGTTGTGTGACTCAATTTATTCTTATTGTGACTCACAAGCAGACTGAGTTGAGCATATAACCTTACACTACTTCACCATCAAGCAACCAAGTCAGGTCTAAATAACACTATCGTATTATCTCAATGTGCGAAGCCATCAAATGACAGGTAAATCAAGTTTTATTATTATTAAGAAATTCATAAGTCACCTTACTCCCGGTAACATATCTAATAATTTGGAATCATCACTAACCGACAAATCGTTCTTAAAGGTTACAAGAAACTTTATTTGAAGACCAAACCTTAATAACGAAGAAAAAGTATACAAATTTATGACCACTTGATTCATAAATGTTGAGTAGCACGTGTACACAGCACGTAATTTAGGCAGGTTACTTGCGTAATTTAGGCTGGTTACTTGCGTAATTTAGGCAGGTTACTTGCGTAATTTAGGCCGGTTACTTGCGTAATTTAGGCAGGTTACTTGCGTAATTTAGGCAGGTTACTTGCGTAATTTAGGCAGGTTATTTGCGTCTCTAATGAGATCCGCACGAGCTGAACTTGCCGTGATCCGCAGTAGCGCCGATTTGGGGCGTTAAACTTCGCGTAAGAATGCAAGTAAATGGCATCCAGAAATGAAGGTTGAGAATTTATGGCTGTTCATAGAATTTATGTAAGTTTGATAGCTGAAGGCTGGGATCAACGTGGAATTTATGTCAGTTTGATAGCTGAAGGCTGAGATGGATGTGAAAATTATGGCTGTTCAATAGCTGAATGCAAGGATGAATGTGAAATTTATGTCTGTTCAATGGCTGAAAGTTGGGATAAACTCAGGGTTTGAGGAAAAACGTGGGGCAGGATCAGGCCTGGAGGACTGAAGCTCTAGTTTGTAGCAGCAGCTTCATCTTACACCGTCTCTGCAAATACAAGACAATGACAATCCTGGCAGAAATGCCAATATAAATGTAAATTAATAAGTATTAATTGAATTTGTAACGTGACTATTGAGCATTAATGATTCTCATTTAACATAAATAATTCAAAAGTTATAAGATATTTGTTCTTTTGTTAATTATCTTCGTGCGGTATTTTATTGTGAAGACTACTACATCATTAAAGTGACGGATACCCCAAGTGTTTATACCCAAACATCCTTTGAGCGCCAGTACACGAATAATGACGGGAAGAATGTAAAGCAGTTAAAGTAACACAGGAGGCAATAGAAAATATAACTAAAGATAACACTGAAGGTAAAGCAGAAGATATATTAAAATTGCTACCTTCAACATATCGATAATATTATGATATAGTATACTTCATTCCATCATATTCAAACTCTTAAGTTGCTTATCTGGAGTCGCATGACGATTCAAGTCAGCAAGCTTCAGTGAAGAGACTTCTCAAGAAATGTTATTGTGTCAAATATACGGTAAACTGATGATAAAGATTATGTTGATCACACGTGCTCAGTGATGATACTCACCACACGTGCTCAGTGATGATACTCACCAAACATTCTCAGTGATGATACTCACCACACATTCTCAGTGATGATACTCACCACACATGCTCGGTGATGATACTCATCACACATTCTCAGTGATGATACTCACCACACATTCTCAGTGATGATATTCATCACATATGCCAAGTGATGATACTCACCACACATTATCAGTGATGATACTCTGGATGACATGGTTGTGGGGGATGTTGAACTCGTTGATACGGAAGCGGTCAGGTAAAAGGATGCCGCCATAGAACCAACGCTGCCGCACCTCCCCGAGATCCTCTTGCTCCTGCAATGTTCATATAAATTTACACTGCTTTCTAATGTTTTAATTTAGGTGCTCTATACTGTCTGGTCATTTGATAGCTTTTTCACATCTAATTACGTTATATCTGGCGTATGGAATTTGTTAAACGTAAATTTATTGACGTGACATAATTTTGAGCAAATTTTTTATTTAAAATGTGAAATTCCATATTTTACAGAAAATTTTGGTATCTCACTGCAAAATGCAGTCTATGTACAATAATGACTGAGACTAAAATTCGTTAATCTGTTCTTCTTGGAAGGTAAATTGTAGGAATTCAAATTGTAAACAATTGTTTATGAAGCCCTGATCAGGAAAATTTTGCAGAGAATACTAAAAAATATTAAGTACCGTCAACTGGGGTGACTTCGGCCACCGGGGGTGACTTTGGCCACCATTACAACAGAAAAAAAAAATGGCAGCAAAATAAAATAATAAATGTTGACCAAAGTGCCTGGGGTGACTTTGGCTAACGTTTATCATTTTGTTTTGCTGCCATTTGTTTCTATTGTAGTGGGTGCCGAAGTCACCCCAGTTGACGGTACAACAGAGGACGGTGGAGAAAATCAAGCGTGACTAGCTTTGAAGTTTTGGATTAAGAATTGCTACAATGTAGTACAAGACTACTATCGTAGGTTTACAATTTGGCCGCAAAATGAGCATGTGGTGGCAAATGCATATGTTGACATTCTTGTACTTTCTAGTATTAAGTATTTACTCCCATAGGATATTGCATAAAATTTTGAACTAAATCAGGCACTAGTCAAAAAATCCCTCGTTTGCCAGCATGAGTGAGCGTAGAGTAGGACCTTGAGGAGCTGCTTGCACTCAGCGATGGTGTCGAGAGAGTGGACGGGCAGTTTGATGTCCTTGGAGGTCGTCGAAAGACGCACTTTGATGACGATCTCTTCCCCAGCCACCCACCCGCCTTGCTCTGTGGGGTGAAAAATACTTAGCACAGGGCAAACAATACAGCTGCTCTTGCCTCCACTGCGTGTATATGGAGAAATTCGTTGATTTTTAGAATCATAAAGTAATCATGATTAGTAAGTTATCACTTACAATCTAGAATGGACATTTGAGTTATATTAGAAATTTTATATTTTTAACAGGTGCTTGAATAACATAAAAAATAATATTCATTTGATTCTATTAGGAGCAAACCTTAATGGTTTCAGCCCTAAACTTGGGAGCTCTAGGTATTTAACAACACACACAGGGGTACATTCAACAGTCGTTTGTAATTCATGGTAAATGTGATTATTAGTAGTGGTGGGCAAATCTTGCTCTGGTTGACTAAAAATGGACAATTTAAAAATAATACATAAATAAATAAATTAAAATACTTCCATAAATAATATATCATCCAGCAATGGAACCTAGTATATTGAAAAAATAAAAAATAATTCTAAGAAACAAGCTGAAGAAAAAGCACATGGGTAAATCATCATAATAAAAATTATTGCAAACAAATAAAAGAACACTCATTATCCTTAAATTGACTTCAATATCAAGAAACTTGCCTGAGGGCAGAGATGCACTCTTCTCCCATGCAGCAACAACATTGACAGGCAGCGACAAACAATAGACAGGTAGCTGGTAGCGGGTGCCCAGCTCATCATAGCAGTCAGTGAGGCCGCCATAGGGCAATGTGATGTTTGCTCCATCAACAATAGCCTGCGCCAAACCATAATCTTCACTCTCAAATGCAGTGGCTGCAGCCTTCAGTGCATCCCATATTTCCTTTCTGTAAATAATATTAGTGTTTTACTCTGGAACTTAGAGATTTCACATCACACTTCTGCATGAAAGAAAATGATGCAAAGGCCCTTCTGCAAGTACATTTTCATGAAAGTTTTCATTCAACTGAAAATCTGCCCAAACTTTCTCCTCATAACTGGAATATTATCCAATATTACTGGAAATGACAACATTCAAGCACTTCAGTACCTACCGTCAAATGGGTGACTTTGGCCACCACTACCTATAACAAAAACAAATGGCAGCAACACAAAAAAAACGTTGGCCAAAGTGACGGGGTGACTTTGACCAATGGGGTGACTTTGGCCAACATTTATTATTTTGTTTTGCTGCCATTTTTTTCTGTAGTGGTGGCCGAAGTCACCCCTGGTGGACGGAGTCACCCCAGTTGACGGTAGGCAGAGCAGAGTTTAACACTGCTCATTCTAGGACCTTCACCTGCCATCAAAAGCAGGTGCTGTGTCCCAGAATTCTTCTCTTTTGTCTTGAATTTGCTTCTCAGTCAATGGCAGGTCAGACTTCCACCGTACTGCCTCATGGCGTAGTGAAACATTCTTCCCAACACCTCGGCTACCTGGAAAAGTTGGGAAAAATGTCAAGTTACATATTACCATTAGAGCAGATAGGTAGTATAATCAATAAACAGTGGTGGTATAATCAATTGGGCATTTTCAAGAGAACAAGTAGGAAATAAAAATATTAGCATCACATATAGTATCAAAATTGATGCTATGTAAATGATACAATAATGTTAACTAGGTACATTTATAGCAGCATGTTGTGCATGATGAGCAAACTGAAGCATTAACCCATAATTGATAATGCAATGAGAAAAGCTTATTAGACTGTTTCTGGCCCCTGGCATGATTACATAATACAATAAATAAATTAAGTAGTGAGAAATTAAAATGAAGATCACTTAATTGAAACAATTTTTCATCATAAAGCCTATTATCAGCTTTATTTAATTTTTGACAAAGGAAGCCACAATGATTCTTGACCAAACAAAAGAGCAGAATTTCACCATTAAACCAGGAAAAGCAGGCTTTTGTATAAAGCTATATTGCTTAATTTGTTAGAAGATCAATTATCAGGAGTAGTGGAGTACCTTGTGGAGAAGACACAGATGCCGCAGGCTCTACAGAGGACGCCCTACTGGGCGAACGGTTCCTCAGGTTTCCTATGCAGCCTCCCATAACAATGTTCTCATCCCTGTTTTGAGAAGCCAGGCACTGCTATGCATTGCCCAAAATATGGTACCTAGCAATAAATTAAATTCTGTAAAATTATATTCAGAAGCAATAAGCCAATATAATGTGGAAGTAATAATTTACCATAAAAATACAAATTTTTCTAAGACTAGTCTTCAAAAACCAATTCATTGTAAATCTACACATGATGTGATGACACTAATTTTGATTTATGCCATAATTTTTTTCAAACAAGATTGATTATTCATATGCACCCATTTTGTTTACTAATCTTTATTCTTTATTTATATACTGTCTGACATCAATCAAGGGAATTTTTGTCTTGTACTTTACTACTTGGGTAGGTTTTGGGTTTTGCCAACTTTCCAACTTGGTTTGCTAGAATTTCAACTAGTTTAATCTTTAATGTCTAATTGTCTATTCATGTCTTTCATGACATATTTCATGTCTATTCATATTCAGACTATTGTATTCTATATAACTATGTGAGTCACAGTGAGTGCAAAATTTCAAACTTCATCAGAACAAGCAACTTTGGAACCACGTCCACAAAGTTCAGTCTGAAACAATGAATTTCAAACTTCCTACCAAATTTGAGCCAATGACAATGAATAAGACAAATATCCAATAATATGAAATATGAATCATTATTTGAACAACTCTAGTCATGCACTCATGCATTGCATAATCTGACTCCTCCTCGGCATAAATGATTAATGATGAAGCATGATACTGATAGCATATTAATTTGTGTTTACCATGAGATGCTTGGTGCTAAAAACAAAAGTAATAGAATAGAATAGAAGTGTCAGCATTGAAGAAATAGGCCTATGGTCTGTTGCCGATTCTTGAACTTTTCGTGACTTGATTCACAAGGGATCCGGCCTTTGGAACCCGATCTTTCCATAACTGATGATTGATTGAGATAGCTGCTGGACTTATTGCCTGCTCCGTAATTTGCTAGGCATTTTAAGACTGAACATATGCTCCTGCATAGCTTCGTCTAGTCTGTTTTTGAAGATGTTCATACTCGGAGCTTCAACGATGCTATCAGGGAGGCTGTTCCACATGTCGGTGACTCGAAGCGAGAAGAATGTTGTCGCATGGATGTGTTCCAACGCCGTTTTTTTAGTTTATAGCCGTGGCCCCTGGTGTTGGTTCTTGTTTCAAATTCTAGTAATCCTTCTGGGACCTTGTATAAGCCATGAGTATATTTGTATACTTCAATGAGGTCCCCACGCAGACGTCGATAATGGAGGCTTGGAAGCTTCATAATCTTTAATCTTTCCTCATAGGACTTGCCTTTCAAGCCCGGAACTATCCTCGTTGCGCGCCTTTGAACACTCTCTACTAAATTTTTGTCCTTTTCAAATTTCGGTGACCACACGACGTTTCTGAACTCCAGGTTTGGGCGCACGAGAGCAACAAACAACTGCTTCATCGTTTCTATACTAGAAAATCTCTGATCCATTTGAGTACATTACTCTCAATTCCCAAAGACTTCAATTTACGCAACAACCGCTCATGTGGGACACTGTCAAATGCCTTGGCAAAATCGAGGTATACTGCGTCTACTGGCTCCCTTTCGTCCAGCAGGCAGGTCCATTTGTTCAGAGTCGACAAGAGGTTAGTGGTGCAGGTCCTGCAGGATCTCCCGGCAATAAAGCCATGTTGAGTCTGATAGGAGATTATTAGCAGTCAAATGATCTATCATTCAATCCCTCACAATAGATTCCACTACCTTGCAAACGACACTTGTCAAACTGACAGGGCGAGTCTCCCGGGCAGCTTTTGTCACCTTTTTTGAACAATGGTGTCACTTGAGCTTCTTTCCAGTCAGCCGGCAACATTCCTTTGTTCAAAGTTTTTTTAAAAAGTGACGTCAGAGGGCTGTCTAGGACAGTTGCTAATTCTTTGAGTAATCTGGGGTGGAAGCCGTCTGGTCCACATGACTTGTTTGGATTTACAGCAATAAGGCGCTTGAGAACCTCTTCTTCTTGTATTTGAAAGCTTGTGAATTTAGAGCCGACTGGGCGCTCCTCAATAGCTGGAATACTGTTCAAGTCCTCTTCAGTAAATACGCTACTGAAAAAATGATTAAGTACGTTGGCTTTGCCCTCATCAGAGGTCAGAGGATATCTTTCGCTGATCTACTTTCAAATCAGAAATATCGTCCTTCATCTTGCACTTCGAGCTAGCGTATAAAAAGAACTTAAAGAAGGCTTTCAGGTTCTTTTTCGCATTTTTAGCAATACTTTTTTCGAGGGTTTTTACAGCGGTGCGACAGCTTTCTTTGGAACCACGTCAACAGGGTCAAGGTCAACAGCCAGTAATTTAATCAAAAATATTTCAAAGTGAACTACATCGTCGTTTTTGAGAATGAAACATCGATCAACAACCAACAATCATCTCACGAAAAAGCAATAGACGGTGAGCCCGTAACGTAAGGCACAGCCAACCATCGCTAAGTTTATGGCATGACTGAACCAGCTGATCGAAAATTTTCGGATGCTCGAGCCTTACGCATTCCATTTCCACTGCGGATTACTAAACATATGTTCCGAGAGATTACAATTTTCGAACATTTATACGGCAACAGTGGTTATTAATACATTATTTTTTTCCCAACTTGCATTTGTATTTAGATCTGAACGAATTTGTTTTTTAGAAATTAAAATATAATTTTAAACTTTTATCCAACGATTAAATATAAGTTGTCCCTCCTTATTTTCTCCTAGTATCAAGTTTTTTCCAGTGATTGTGATCTATTTTCAAAAAAGATTTTCATATCATAAATTAATTCGCATTCATCAGTGACTAGCTCCGGCTAACCCGATTTCCAAGAAGTGGTTTTTGTATGCCTAAGAAATCAACATCTAATAATAATTATGTCATACATTTTTACACTCTTCTCTCACCTTTACAGTCCATGAAAATGATCATAATTGAATGAGATTGCTTTTGCACTACGTTATGAACAAAAAAAAATGTAGGGTCGTTTGTTGCAAAATTGTTTATTTGTTACATCAATATAATTAAAATGGTATAAAATATTTTCATTACCTTTCACCTAAATAAAAATTACCTACATTGCCTATAAATGAATTAATACTACATGAAAACTTATGCTTACAATGTAAACCGAATTGCAAGTGCAATGCTAGAACTATTCACTATTCAAAGGAAAATACAATATTCAAATAATATATACATTGAGATGTTGAAAATCAACCATAGTGTAACCATTACCAGGTTGATGAAAGAATGGTATTTTAACCAAGGTGTTAACAACCTGGTTAAGTTTGGCAAACAGTTTTTGTTTTCAGGTGATCCTAAATCATTAAAAATGGAGAAATGAATGAGAAATGGAAAAGAATTTTTCCAAATAGAGATGCACCTTCCGCCCTTGTGTTGGACATTTTGGCCCAGTTTGGCCAGGAAAAAATATAACTCAGTACTCACTGCAGTGAGTGACAGAGAGCGCATTTTCTCGTCGACGAAAACGTGAAGTCACGGACAGACGGACGGATGGACGGACATGACGAGCACAATAGGGAATTTTTTCCATAAATGAGAAAATGTGCTAAACATACGTATCCGTGCTACACGCAGTAAGTGTGTCAGTATTTTGGGCAATATGATCCATCCACTTATCCTATTCTTGAGAAATGTTGCTGGGATTAAACGACTTTCAAAGCTTCAATTAATGGATAGAATCCGAAAAATAAATAAAAATCACGCAATTAGTAGACAATTATTGGTTGAGATCTAAATTTTAAATTAGACAAACGAAAGTTAAACTTTCAATCCGAGTAATCTTGTACACATTACTGGATTCTAAGCTAACATTCAATTTGAGATACGGTATACTAAACATTATAAATGCAAACGTATTTGGATATATATGGTGGAGGAAAAATGGATAGGCGGGAAATATTCGTCTTGAATTGAAATTCATGACGTTATGTTGAAATAATTTCCATGCTCAAAAGAATCAAATGCTTTAGGTTTAGCAAAATAGCAGTCACTTTACTGGAAACTTAGTTGTCACAAATGACGTTTCTAAGAAATTCCAATCAAATAACAATCAACTAACAATCTTCACATTACTGAAGATTGCGAGTAGCACGCTATACATAACACAGCTTGTGTTGTTCACTTCGGTAAAGATTGTCTTCTCACTTTCAACCGATTTTAATGTTTGATTCTATAAAAAACGCTGGTTAGGTGCACTTAAAACAAATAAACGGGATTTAATTCGTAATGCCTCCACTTTTTAAACAATGTTAATCTTGATAAATTCTATTTAACGTTAGAAGACATTCACTGAACTTCAATATTAATGTCGCCGTTAGGCCTGTTTTAAGAGGGCTTCAACACCCCCCCTAAAATATTTTCACGCCACGCTATTGTTAATTTTATGTTAATTTATTAAAATTATCGATATTTTCAACAGAAAATTGTGAAATGGCAATTACTTAACAGACGTTCACTTCAATATAATGGGGCTTGAATATGTAGTTATTAATGCTGTAAACATATACTACTTCCTTTCTTCCTTGCTGTACTGAAAATGTTTCTATAGCTGCTTGTTAAATCATTATTTCTTTGACATTCTGTTTGTACATCTCCTGAGGGCTTTTCACTCGGGTTCTTAAAACCAAGTAACGCCCTTGTTTTAATGTCTTTTTTTAATGTATTTTTCGCGTAATTTCTCATTTATGGGAAAATGCGCTATTGTGCTCGCCATGTCCGTCCGTCTGTCTGTCCGTGACTTTACGTTTTCGTCGACGAAAAGTGCGTGCTCTGTCACTCACTGCAGTGAGTACTGAGTTATATTTTAATTATAATTCTTCAGTATAAAATAGATATTTTAGCAACTATATATCAGGAATTTGCTTGAAGACGCCGGCCAGCGGCACGTCGACGAACGCTGACGCTGGCGCTACAGCTGCCGCCAGCTCGTCTGCCTCGACGTCGATCTTGTCGACGTTGGGGTGATACGTCGCGGCAGATCTACGTTCCCCTGTTAGTCATACGACGTAATTTGAATGGTAAATATCAATTAAAAACCATTCATTTTTAGGTTACATTAAAGCAATGTTTCATAAATTTTGTTGAGAGTCCCTTTCTCCTCTCAGGGCAACTTATCATCAGGGGTCAACAAAAATTATCATCAGGGGTCAACAAAAATTATCATCAGGGGTCACCAAAAAATTATCATCAGGGGTCGCAAAAAATTATCATCAGGGGTCAACAAAAATTATCATCAGGGGTCATCAAAAATTATCATCAGGGGTCATCAAAAATTATCATCAGGGGTCACCAAAAATTATCATCAGGGGTCAACAAAAATTATCATTAGGGGTCACCAAAAATTATCATCAGGGGTCACCAAAAATTATTTTCAGGGGTCAACAAAAATTATCATCAGGGGTCAACAAAAATTATCATCAGGGGTCACCAAAAATTATCATCAGGGGTCAACAAAAATTCTCATCAGGATCACCAAAAAATTATCATCAGGGGTCACCAAAAATTTAATTTTGAAAATTGCTAAGTAAATTCACCACACTGAGAGAAATGGTTGGGTCTGTATAACCCACATAGATGAGTCAACCGCGTCCGAATTGCGATGCACTTTTTTGACTCACCCGCCCTTTTGTAGGTCATACTAACCTATTACTGGCCCTTTAAATATCAAGTATGACTCACTTCTGGCATCAAGTCACACCTATTACTGGCCTTTTAAAATTCAGGCATGACTCATTTCTGGAATCAGGTCACACCTATTACTGGCCTTTTATAATTCAGGCATGACTCATTTCTGGCATCAAGTCACACCTATTACTGACCTTTTAAATTTCATGTATGACTCATTTCTGGCATCAAGTCACACCTATTACTGACCTTTTAAAATTCAGGCTTGACTCATTTCTGGCGTTAAGTCACTTTTGACACCCCAAAAAAGTGTATCGATATCTGGACGCGGTTGACTCATCTAACATCTAAGTATGTCATCCAGACCCACCCATTTTACTCAGTGATAGAGGATGGAACACTACAGGCTGACCTGAGCTGTGCATGGAGAAGGATCGAGTCGCCTGTCGTCTGCACAGCAGCAGGGCGAGGTAAGCCTGTCTGTATTGCTTGTTCATGACCACGTAGATGACAGGGTTCACGCAGCACGAAGTGTAGATCAGCACGTAGGCCACCACGTGCAACACTGAGCACATATTAATGATATTACACCTCATAAATCATGGAGTACATGTAATAATACTTAATACTATTTTGTTATAGAATATACATTGCAAATGCATTGACTTGCTTAAAAATCAAGTACGAAATCAAGTAAGGAACTCAACTATGTATGTTTGTATAAGACACAAGTAACCGCACCGTAAAATTTCTTCAGTAGAGTAAAGCTATACAAAATATAATGTTGTCATGAATTGCACGAAGATCATTATTCAGAAATGATCTCTTAGTAAGTGAAAATTAGCAGCAAGTCTAAAGCATGGCCATGGATACAAGTTAAATGAGTCTCTATGAATAATTTTGTTCACCACAATTTCTGTAACCAAGAATTTGAAAGCAAAAAAGCCCAGTAAATAGATCATACCTTCGGTGAAAACGTATCAATTGAAATATGCTGATTTTACTTGACATTTTCTTTATTTTAAAAGTACAAGGGTAACTTAAGACTTAGGCCAATTGATGATATAATTACACGCATAAATACCAGGGTATCTGAGCTTCGTATCGAAGGTCTTGATGAGCGTCATGGGCAGATAAGTTACGAGGAACGCCACGAAGATCGTCAGCACCATCTGCGTCACCCGCCACTCGTTCCGCCGACGACGTATCTCCTTCTCCGACTATGACGTTCAACAATAAAATATGTATAAATATAATAAAATAAATCAACAGGACCTATAAATGCAAAATGTTAATTCAGGAACTTTAAAATGCAAGCACCAAAAGAGAGGCTAAATTTTAAACTCGTCACATAATTACAGACTAATCAAAAAGTGCGATTAATAGTCATTTTCTTTGGTCCTCCAACAAAAATTTTAAAAAATGCCCAAGGGGGCAAATATTCACGTTATAAAACAGATTAAATTGATTATAATAAAATAAAAATGGAAGTAGTAAAAATACAAGGTGTGTTTTTAGTTTGCAAATGTTTCTGATTCAGGATCTTATAATTGAAAGCTGTATTACCACACCTAACTTCCTAATAAAGCTGCTGTGTGGTGCTTGTGAAATAACTCTCTACAGCGCCGGAAAATATGTACCTAATTCAAGAGGGAACAACATTATGTTAGTTAGATGGAATACCATTAAAATAAGTAGAACCAGTCGTGTGCTGAATAGTAGAAAAAATAAACCATTCATCATTTAAGAAGATAAGATATGTGATTAGTAATTACTAAACTGAAACTGTACAGGACAAGAAATTCTGGATGAATGAATTGATGAGCGTAGGCACAATGTCACTCTAGTGTACACGTTCATTGGTGGCGCAACCACAAACGAAAGTTTGTTAACAATAGGTTGTTCGGTGTAGACGTGTCTCAAGTGTTTTTTCACTTGTAACTAGTTTTTATTCACTAGTATTTTTTCACAAATATTTGTACAGAAACGTCCGCGAACTATTTTCAATAAACATGTTTGAAGCCGGAGTCTGGCCATCAATGCTGGAAATCATTTAGTACTTGATCGATGATAAGTGTAGAAGGTACGCGAGATCTATTAATTAAATAACGAATTATTATTTTTATTTTTAATCTTTGAACAAGTGAGTCGAAATATGAATGTTTCTTAACAGGAAAGTGGCCTGATCACATGAAGCTAAGTAAAATCATCATTGCTGAATTATGTAATAAACTCGATTACATAAGTTAATGGAGGGGGAAAATATAATATGGCGTAAAATTGAACATTCATATTATTTAGTATGAACTTTTCACATATATTTTATTTATTATTACTTAAAATAATAGCAAAATATCGATGCTATAGTTTTTGTCTGACCTGCTGTGGCGCATGGGCGCAAGATGGCCGTCGGTGGTTCAGCATCCTCCGCTCAGACCTTGAAAACGAAATCAATATTTTTCGGCTGCTTGAGGTTTCTACAGAAACCAAAAATTGTTGACATTATACTTAACATATTTTATTGTTAGTGCGTTCAAGATACTGCAATAAAAAATCAAAGTAGCTCGAAATAGTTTCAGGGTTTTGAAATGAATTAGTCCCGAGCGTAGTTCTTTAATAATTATTGTACCTGCATTTGACGATAGCCAAAAAGGTGTTCACTAGCAGGAAATTTCTCACTCGAAGTAACCTATTTAACTCTCATTATTATTTCAAGGAAAAATAATTGCACATTAATTCTAATCATTAAATCCTATACGGCTATACCTCCTAATCATGGTGCTCCTAATACTCACTCTTCGACTGTCTTGAATATAAGGCAGTAGCAGACGACGATGGCCAACGAGGTGTCCACTAACATGTAATATCATGCAATAAACTTTCTATCTGTCATTGATATTTCAAATAAATAAATTAATAAACTTTAATCTGAATCATTGAAATTTTTTATTTGTACTTATTTTGAGAAGACTTACTCCTTGACGGTCTTAAAGATGAGGGAGTAGCAGACGACGATGGCAGCCGCTGGCACGCAGAAGCCGAGGCCGAAGAGCACCTGCTTCGGGTGCTCGCCGGACGTGGACAAGATGGTGCAGGTTTCCAGCCACGGGTCGAAACCAAACCGACCTTTGGCCAAGTTCTCAAATAATTACTAAATATATTTGAATTACCACACGATTGATAGCAATTAAACGGCCAATATTTAATCTCTTGTCGATTTCCATATCACATAAAGAGCGAAGCAAATTTTTTGAAGCTAAATAAAATTTGAGCACATACATACCTACTGCCGTCGTCCCGTCACACATGCGGGTTGCTTACATTGCGACGCTCTGGCCCCGCAGGCGCAATAGTAAGAGGTGGAGCTCCCATATTCATAATTACTTCAATCTAATGTTTGTGTCATCGTTACGTGGAATGTATTCGTTCCATTAGTCTTGCTGATTTACCGAGTAACTTGTATTCGCCTAAATTAATGGAGCGCGTTCAGTAATGCTCGAACCGAGACTTTTTCCCAAGTATCTTCAACCGAGTCTATGACCAAGTTCTGTCTCATGTGCCAGTAACGCCAGCATCATCATAAATTAATTGATATAGTTAAATTAATTGTAATAATATCGAAACATTCATAACAATGGACTCACCCCAAGAAGAAAGCAGTGTTGGGAAGAGCATGACTAGAGGAAACATCCAACAGACGAAGATCATCCCACAGACCCACACAGGTCTGTATATCCTGCTATACGAGGCCGTCTGAGTGATCATAATGTACCTGAAACCCGCCACAAAAACATTATTTATCATCATAGGCCAAATATGCCTGGTAACAAGGGGCAACAAGCTCACTGCGGGTCATGGGCCCATATAGCGGGTTTCCCGCTCAGCATGCCAGAAATTAGTCCTCAGACTCTACCGCCGGTCGACAGTTGCATTAGTATAGTATAGTATCTTCGGCATTGAAGAATAGGCTTGGATAGGCCTGTCGCCGATTCCGGTACTTTTCTTGACCAGACTGGCCTTTAGATCAAATCTTTTTAACGGACGGTAGGTTTAAAATCGCTGCAGTGGGCTGCATGGTGCGGTTGTATGTTGTATTGAGTGGTTATGTCGGCAAGTTACTTGCCAATACCAGTTCCAATTACCAAAATTCTTGCAATACCTAAAAGAATCACTGCAACCCGACCACACAGGCTAATTACACCCATATATAGTTATAACTGAGACTCGTCCTATTGGCGCTGCTGTTTTTGCCTCATTGTAGGCCATATTGGCTCAGTTCAGCCTGGCTGTAGGGGTGTATCGGTGCTACGTTTGATCTATGTTCAGGCTGTGAGTGTGAATGAAAAGTGTGTCAGTATTTTGTTGTTGTTGTAATTGCCCATCCTGGTAGTGGCGACTAGGGAGAGGGGGTGATAGGTCAGTTTTTTCGGGCACTCGGTACCACTGGTAGTTCTACGACCATGACTGGCTCGCTGACTCGCCAGAACCATTTTATTGCATTCCACAACACCCTGGACAAGCCAGGTACTCATTTATCAACCAGAGTTGGATGAATGGCTGAGTTGACCGTGAGCTGAGCTTCCCGATAGAACTTGTCCTTATATAGTGGGACTCGAACCCGGGCGCTGGGTGCGAGAGACAGAGTCTCTCACCACTGCACCACCACAGCTCTGTCAGTATTATAACACCAATACCCATTCATTTTTCTGAGTTTCCCCTGAGGCATGAGGCATTCGGTGTATAATTTCTCCTAGGCAACCCTGATCTGCTTTATCATTTATTTTCTCTAAAGAGACTGTTACTGATGGACGTACGGGTAAGCGTCCGCGGAATTAGCATCTGTTTCAGTTGTAACTCTTGAGTTATAAGATCAAACAATATACAGCTGTTATAGCTTCCACCTGTTAATACAGCTGCTACAGCTCTCACCTGTTAACGGTAATCATAGCGATGCTCATGAGTGAAGCTGCAACGTTCCAGTATCTGCGGAACACAAAAATATGTGAGTAAATGTGATATGTTTTGCAACACTCACATATGTGATATGTGTGTGGATGTGAATGAATTCCGTGTATGTTATACCTCAGTAGGGGTACTAGGGAGCATAACACGCATCAGTAGGGGGACTAGGGTGCACAACACACCTCAGTAGGGGGACTAGGGTGCACAACACACCTCAGTAGGGGGACTAGGGTGCACAAC